ACGAATTTAGGTTAACAAAAGGTACCTGCTTTGAAACAAGCTGTAATAGAAATGACTGACCCCATGACAGGGCAAAATGAAGCAGGTTCAGGCCTCAGGAAGAATTCACTAACAGGCTTCCAGTCAAGGGTGAATAAAAGCAGAACTACAAGCAGGTCCTGAGGACAATGATGAAAACATGTTTACCACAGAGTAATAGAAATAGAAGTGGGGGAGGGGAGAGCAGGGCCCTTCAGGGGCACGGAGAGGAAAACTCACCAGGGCCCTTCAGGGGCACGGAGAGGAAAACTCACTTCCATTTTCTTTTGGAGGCTCTTTGTCTATAGAAAAACGAAGAATTCGTTTCTTCATTTGATATTTAACAAATGCTTTTGGCACCCCAAGATTAAAATGCAGTGTAAGAGTGCTGTCACAAGATCACAGAATTTATTAAAAGCCCACTAATAAAGCCACAACGAGACACCGCCACACACTTATTAGAATAGCTAAAATGAAAATGAAAACAAAACTGACCATACCAAGTTTTTATGAGCATGTGAAGCAACTAGAAATCTCTTACCTTGTTGGTGGGAATGCAAAATGTACAGTCACTTTGGAAAAAAGTTGGGCAGTTTCTTGTAAAATTAAACAGACACCCGCCATACAACACAGAAATCTTACTCCTAGGTGTACAGTCCCAAGAGAAATGAAGATGGATGTTCATACAAAATCTGTATATGAATGTTTATAGGGATTTATTTGTAATTGTCCAAAACTAGAAAGACCCAAATGCCTTCAACTGGTGAATGAAGAACCTGGCGTATATCCATCATGGAAAACTTGTCAGCAAGAAAAAGGAGTGGAGGGACGCCTGGGTGGCTCAGTGGGTTAAGCCTCTGCCTTCGGCTCAGGTCATGGTCTTGAGGTCCTGGGATCGAGCCCTGCATCAGGCTCCCTGCTCAGCGTGGAGGCTGCTTCCTCTTTCTCTCTGCCTGCCTCTCTGCCTATTGTGATCTCTCTCTCTCTGTCAAATAAATAAAATCTTAAAAAAAGAAAAAGAAAAAGGAGTGGACTGAAATAAACTCTTGCATATATAGCCAAATGCTTTTCAACAAGGGTGCCAAGGCTACACAATATAATAGTGTTACATGGTGACAGATGGGAGCTACACTTGTGGGGCATGTAGCATCATATATACACTTAGGGAAACACTATGATGTACACCTGAAACCAATGTAACATTGTGTCAACTACACTCAGATGAATTTTTTTTTGGATTATTATATATTGGTCTATCATTTTTTTTATTTTTTATAAACATATATTTTTTTTCCCCAGGGGTACAGGTCTGTGAATCGCCAGGTTTACACACTTCCCCGCACTCTCAGATGAATTTTTTAAAAAGTTTTATATATATGTGTGTGTGTGTGTGTCTGTTTATACACACACACACACACATATATATGAAATATTATGCAGCCTTTTTTTTTTTTTTTAAAGATTTTATTTATTGATTTGACAGAGAGAGATCACAAGTAGACAGAGAGGCAGGCAGAGAGATAGAGAGAGAGAGAGGGAAGCAGGCTCCCCGCCGAGCAGAGAGCCCGACGCGGGACTCGATCCCAGGACCCTGAGATCATGACCCGAGCCGAAGGCAGCGGCTTAACCCACTGAGCCACCCAGGCGCCCTATTATGCAGCCTTAAAGAGAAGGAAATCCTGTCACATGCCGTACCTGCATGAACCTCAAAGATCTTACAGAGTGTAATAAGACAGTCACAAAAGGAACCACTGGGGGCGCCTGGGTGTCTCAGTCCTTAAGTGGCTGCCTTAGCTTCAGTCATGATCTCAGGGTCTTAGGATCAAGCCCGGCATAGGGCTTCCTGCTCAATGGGAACTGCTCAACTCCCCCTGCTTGTGTCCCCTCTCTCGCTGTCTCTCTCTGTCAAATAAATACATAAAATCATAAAAACGAAAACAAAAGGAACCACTGGATGGTCCCACCTGGATAAATCTCAAAGGCATCAGGCTAAGTGAAAAGCCAGGCTCAAATAGCTACACACTGTATGATTCCATTGATGTGACAGTCTGGAGAATGGAAAATCTTAGGGACAGAAAATAGATCACTGCCCTAAAGAGCGGGACCAGGGGGAAGGGTCTGGGTGTGGTAAAATTATTCTGTATCTTGACTATAATTGTAGTTACATGATCGTATGTGTTTGTTAACTGTACACAAAGAAATTTATACTGTATATATATTATCCCTCATGAAAATGACTAAAAAGAAATATGGAGTTAATATGGCAAAATGTCAAATCTGGTCACAGTGCAGTGTATAGTGGTATTTTTTGTAACTCTGATTGTGATTGTGTTTCAGTATGCAAATAACAAAACCAAAAATGATTCTTTTTTTTTTTAAAGATTTTATTTATTTATTTGACAGAGATCACAAGTAAGCAGAGAGGCAGGCAGAGAGAGAGAGAGAGGAGGAAGCAGGCTCCCTGCTGAGCAGAGAGCCCGACGTGGGGCTTGATCCCAGGACTCTGGGATCATGACCTGAGCTGAAGGCAGAGGCTTTAACCCACTGAGCCACCCAGGCGCCCCCCAAAAATGATTCTTAAAAACCCAACTAGTTTATTCAAACTGCAGTGTAGCCCATTAATAGGATGCAGTTTTAAAGTTATCTGGTAAGCAAGAAATTCTTATTTCATTCCTGTGAGTATATGTCTGTGACCATATTTCTTACCTCATTTTCAGGAAAGGTCAAACTTGTAAATTTGGCAACTTCCAAGAATGTGAAGTCTGCTCAGTCTTCCTGTCCCCATAATGTTTTAGAACAAGAACGATGCCTGGTGGTTGATTTGGCACATGAAGAATGGGAGGAGGAGAGAAGCTGGGGATTATTTTCTTCGGGGTGTTGATTTAGAAATCAATTACTGGACTGCTCACTTCAACCAAAGTGGTAGAGTCAATCCTTTGTCCTCAGACAGCCTTGATCTTCTTGTAGTGCGAAGCAATTCTTTTATAAAGCTTGATGGTTCTGCCTCTCTATCTGTAAAATATTTGGCTAAGTCGAATGAAGATAGGAAAAACTGGATACCTAATTTTAGATAGGTTAGAAACCAGTTCACCCCAAACCATGCCAAAGATCAAGTCAGAATAGTTAATGCTGCGTTAAAGTCAGCCTTAGCTGTTTTTCCACCTAGCCACTCCTGTCTTTGGTTTTTCAGGCTCCTCATATAAGGCAGCTTCCAAATGCAGAATTCCGAAAAGCTGAATTGTCTCGATTCCTCCCAATGTTGGCACAGACTATAAGGAATTGAGAACGCCAATAATCCTAGAGAAACAGATGGACATTTTAAATCACAAACATTTATGCACAACCCAAATGATGCAGTTTTGGATAAAATACAGAAATTGATCTTGGTCTTCCTTGTGCCCTTCCATCCTCATGAGGGAACTCGCCAAGGACAGGAGAAAAGGAAGGGAGGAAGGATCCTCTGGGTTGAAAGATGAAAAAAGCCTGGCAGAAATGGGTCACCTGTGAAAGGAAAAGTCTCAGTGTTCCCAAGATTTGCAAAATGGATCTGAGCTGATGTAGCCCTCATTTCAACCTTGCAAGATGTCATAAAATTACCTCTGGGCAACCTACCAAGTATTTGAGATTGGACAAAAGGGGTTTTGAGATGATTTCCCGAACCATAAAATGAAAATGTTATGGCCAAAGGACTCTTCATCAAAGTTTAATCTAGCAACCTACAACTTTAAAACAGAAAACAAGACAAAGTGATTCACAGATATTAAGGAATAGAAAAGAAAGTAGTACCTGGAGGTAAAGAGAAGTTTAAAAAAAAAAAACAAAATAGAAACAAGTCCTGGGTTTAGAAGTTATGAAATAAAGGTTGGGAAAATACAGTTTTGTTTTGTTTTGTTTTGTTTTGTTTTAAAGGGAAGCATTACATCAGTTGTTAAAAATGGCCCAGAATTTCAGTCAGATGTTAAAGCAATCCTTTGTGGGGGGTGGGGGGGGAGGAAATATCTGCAGTACACCTTTGATCCAATTATATTTTTCTACACTTTCTGTGGTATGCCAGAGAAAGGTGCTCAAGGCGCCTCTTTGATGATTAGCTTTGTTATATAAACTTAATAAACCGCGTATATGTACTGTTTGGGCATATGTACTGTTTTTTCCCTGAATTGGTAAATGTGTTTGAGTAAATACCATGACATTTTAATTTGACATTTACTTCTGAATGGTAGGAAAATTAAGTGTCAACCATATAGCCAACATCCCTGGGCTGGGGTATCTTTATAAATAAGTCAGTTGATTGGAGGGGCCTTCTGAAGTAAGTCTTGTGGTCTCCATGCCATGTTGTAGAGTTTTTTCAATTTGTTTTTGCTTGTTTCGTTTAAAACTAACACATCATTCTACTTAATTTTGTCAATTTTTTTTTGTTTGTAAAAAGTTAAGTGCTCATTTGCCCCCCCCCCCCCTTATTACAACAAGGGTGAAGGGAAGTTACTTGGCGACCTCCTTAGATCCGGCCATCTAAAACAAAACTCACGAAGCTAATGTCACGGTGTGTGACAGAGAAAATTCAAGGACGATGAAGTGGTCACTGTGCTCCTTCGTTATTTAGTAGCTTTGGGAGATAGGATCCCAAATTTCCGTCCCCTCACTGGTTACGTCAGGACCTTTGTTAAAAATACTGATTCCTGGACACTGCCCTAGACTTACTGAGTCTGAATCCAGAGTCAGACCTTGGAAATACGCATTTTTTTCAACAAGAGCCGCAGTCCGCTTGGAAACCACCGCGGCAATTCTCAAGCCCTCTGCCCGCACTAGCCTCACACAGCCCCGCGTCCGATCGTTTCCCTGGTCCCGCCCTCTTTCCGTCCCCGTCCCCGCCCCTCCGTGGCAGGCCTTGTCCAGGCCCCGCCCTCCGCCCCCGCGGTCTCGCGCAGCCTCGCGGGACCCTTCCCGTAATGCCCCGCGCCAAGCCGCCGCGGTTGCCAGGCAACGCGCGGTCCCTGCAGTGGTTGGCGCGGCGTTCAGCCTGGCCATGGGGCCGCAGGGCGTCTGGCCGCTCCTGCTTCTGCTTCTGGATTGCTGGGCCTCCGTGAGCGCCCAGACCAGGGCTACTCCGCCTGTGCCGACGGAGGGCCTCAACTCTACGGAGGCAGCCCGGACGACTCCCCGACCCGCCTTGTCTCCTAGGCCCTCTGGAACTCCCAAGGCCCCCGTCCCCACCTCCGGCCCCAGGCCCACCCCGGTCACGGACGGTGGGTACTAAGTGGTAGTTCCTGGGGATCTAGAGTGATCCAACCTGGAGCGGGTAGCCCGGATGAGGCTGTCCTAATGATAGTGAACGTTTATTGAACACTTGCTGTGTACAGGCATTGCCGAGTATTTCATAGGCGTTAATTGTCTCAGGAACCTGTAGGGTAGATCTCATTGTCCTTGGAAGAGGAAACCGAGACTCATCGTAAGTGGGACAGTCTAAACTCTTTGAAATTACTTGCAGTTGTCTTGGACAACATTAACGCTAAAGGTAGTGAGGAACGAGTCGTTGCACCTTAGCAGCAGAGATGAAATTACGTAAATCCGAAGTTTCTGGGCAGTTGTGGAAACTGAATGCATAGGATGTGTTGGAACTTTTCATTTATGAAAAAGAAACGCCAGAAGTCTAGTTTACTAAATGTGACTACGCCCCTGTCTGAGGACTTGAATTATGAAACCCCAGAATTCCTCCTGTGTTAAGAGATCCCGAGAGGGAAGAGAGGCAGAGGGGGGAGCAGGCTCCCTGCTGAGCAGAGAGCCGGATGTGGGGCTTGATCCCAGGAACCTGGGATCATGACCTGAGCCAAAGGCAGAGACTTTAACCCACTGAGCCACCCAGGCGCCCCTAAAGCTTTTTTTAAAAATAAAGCTTTTATATTAAAACTGTTGATTTACCGAATTAGTAGGGAAGGTAAATAAGTGATAGATGGGGACAGACTGCAGCATAGTGTTCAATATCCAAAATTCTCTACGGTTTTTGGACTGGGTTTTCTTTTATCCATCTAAGTATTCCATCTGTTTATGTGATTTCTCCCCAGAATGAAGCTCTTCTTGAACCATCATTATTAGGGCATGTGTTCAGGGCTGTTTTCCAGCATGGGGGGGATGAATTTGCACTTCCGTCTTCTTAAAGGGCCCAGCTTTAGACCTGGAAAGTAATAATAGATGACAGCTGGCATTTATTCACTGCTTACGGTGTAGCAGGCCCTGTGCTAAGCCTTTTGTCTGTAATGTATCTCATTTAATCCCCTGTGATGTGTGTCATCCCCATTTTTCAGGTATATTTAGGTAATACCACTGACAGGAGCAGGGGCTGACTGTGAGTGAAAACTGGACACCATGTGTGGGGTAGATTACAGGTGGAAGAGAAAAGTGATAACTTTCATCTTGATCTGAGCTCTGTTCCTTAGTATCTTGCTCTAGAGCCAGGCATGTCGCTGTTAAGAGGTGTAGAAGAGCAGCTGAGAGCTACTCAGACCTTGGGAGTGCTCAGCGGATACTTGTTAGCTGATTAAGGACACTCACATCCTGGATAGAGACCTTCCCCCCTCCCAGTGGAGTTATTAAACACTATTGCTCTGTCCTTACTAGTCTTAGTCTTACTAGAGCTACTTAAAAGTGCTTTGAGTTCTGGAAAATCAAGATTGTAATTTTAAACACATAAGGCAGGGAGCCTAAACACTATATTTTATATTAGCATGCGTGAATTGCATTTTCATTTTACTAAGCACATGGAAGAGTGGTTGGCTGGAGGGGAGTATATGAACTTACAGGGGAAGACTTCTGTGTCTCAGATTAAGAAAGGATTGTGTATTTATTGGCAAAACCTTCCTCTTCTTAGTCATATACTTCTTTCCAGAGTATGTTATTTTACCCTTTTGGAGCTATATTTCTCTAAAGCTCATTTTTGTTGTGAAATAGTTCATACATGCAAGTCAAAATGTTGTGTGGACTCTCTACCGCCATTTCCTTGAGATCCTTGTTTGTTTTGAATGAGATTTTTTTGAAAAAATGAAATACTACAGGTAAGACAAGCGCGATCTTACTCTCCCCTTCCCAGCATTAATTACTACCATGAATTCAGTGTTTTTCATTCTTATGCTCTGCCATCTTTAAACAGGTGTTTTTCTCCCCTGTTTGACAGAATAAAATAGGGAATTAAAAATCCAGAGAGTCATTATTATTAAAAATGTTGTGGGGGTGCCTGGGTGGCTTAGTCTGTTAAGCTTCCAGGTCTAGGTTTGGGCTTAGGTCATGATCTCGGGGTTGTGAGATCGAGCCTTTCATGGGGGCTCCTCAGTGGGTGTGGATTCTCACTCACCCTGAGTCTCTTTCTCCCCACTCCTCCTCATGTGCTGTCTCAAAAAAGAAAAATGTTCTGAAGTGGGGAGATTTCTATCCCCCTCATGCTTTATTGTTTAAATTACCAAAGACAGGAGTGCCTCGGTGGCTCAGTTGGTTAAGTGTCTGCCTTTGGCTCTGGTCATGGTCCTGGAGTCCCAGGATCAAGCCTCACATCGGGCTCCCTGCTTAACGGGGAGTCTGCTTCTCCCTCTGCCCCTCACCTCGCTTAAGTTCTCTCTCTCTCTCTCTCTCAAATAAAATCTTAAAAACAAATTACCGAAGATATTTCCAGAACCCCAAGTACAAAGCACCCGAATCAGCTTGATTCTTCATCAATAGTTTGTGAATGCGGGCTCAGCTTCAAAGCCACAGGTGACATATGGAGAGAGATAAAAGTTTGAGAACCTTGATTCCTGGTGGCCTTCTTTGGGCTCCTCCTCTGAATCAGAATCTCCAGAGAAGGGGCAGGGGAATCTGTACTATTATACCAGTGGTACTTATGGTCCGGCAAGTGATTTAGCATGCTGGTTCTTAAATTATCTGCATCATCTGGAAAGTTTTTGAAAAACATGTCTGGGTTTCCTAGCTGACCAAATGGTGTTTCTGAAGGGCAGAGAAGTGATTTAGCATGCCAATTCTTAAACCTATTTTAATTATCAGCATTACCCGGATAATTTTTGAAAAACACAAATGCCTGGGTTTCATAGTCAGCTTACCAAATCAGAGTCTTTGTAGGTGGAGCACAAACAGCATTTTCCAAGTGAGTCAGATGATTAGCTAGCTACTTGGGGGAAACCTCAGATTGAGAAGCATTCAAACTGACTAATTTTCACTTCACAGATCGCCCCCGAAGTACAATAGGAAAAATAAAATGGACCTTTTGTATGAAATGGACTTTCAACACTTCGCAGTGGCAGGGGGCAGTCACTCCCCGCTGGTGGTGAAGTTCTGAGGCCCACCTCTTTTGTTTCCGTAGTTGCTGCTCTGTGCGTCTGTGACCTGACTCCTGCGCAATGTGACGTCAACTGCTGCTGTGATCCTGATTGCAGCTCCACAGATGTCAGTGTCTTTTCTGCCTGTTCAGTTCCAGTTGTCATGTAAGTTGGTGTCCCATGCAGTTTTGATGACATTGGTCCAAGATTATAAAATCTGGGGACAGAAAGTGAAAAATCTTCTAGGTGGAAACACCCAAACTTGGGTTTCTTGACTTTTGCATCATTCAGAAGCCGTGCTATCCAGACCATTCTGCAGAAGAGTATCTCTCCCTGATTTGCATCCCGCCGGATGATAGGGCAGGCAAAAGACAGAGCCTACTTCGTTAAGAGTATAAGGAAGTCTTTGTATTCAGAGATTGAATTACATTTCACTCTGATTTGTAAACAGATAATGCGTACAGCTTTGTATAAGTGAATTTGTCTCACGTAAGTGGCCTAGGGTGGAAAGTGCAGTTGAATTTACAGCTTTTGTTGTGGACATAGTACTTGTAACCAAAAATTAGACGGGAAAGCTTTGTTCGTACTTTTCTGATACGTAAATCTACCAGGAATTCTCACAATTCACATTGTATAGAAGAACAATGGAAAATTATATTCCCAGTCGATTACAAGGTAAAGAAACAATCTCCTCTGAATGATTTGTTTCTTGTAATTCAGACTTAAAAGGTCTTTGAAAAATACAGCACTTAAAAGAGGTTAATTTATTCAGGATGGGACCAATTATTATTCAGAGATAGTTAAATTTAATCTTGTAGCAATTGATACTTGATAGATTGAATGCTTTTGGAAATACAATGTGTTTTTCCCATGAAAAACTGTCTTTTTTTAAAAAAGATTTTAATTAGGCGCCTGGGTGGCTCAGTCATTAGGCATCTGCCTTCAGCTCAGGTCGTAATCCCAGGGTCCTGGGATCGAGCCCCACATCAGGCTACCTGCTCAATGGGGAGCCTGCTTCTCCCATTCCCCTTGCTTGTGTTCCCTCTCTTGCTGTCTCTCTCTCTGTCAAATAAATAAATAAAATCTTTAAAAAAATTTAAAAAAAATCAGATTTTTTTTTTTAATTAAACACTTTATTTATTTGACAGAGCTCACAAGTAGCAGAGAGGCAGGCAGAGAGAGAGAGCAGGGAAGCAGGCTCTCTGCTCAGAGCCTGATGGCGGGGATCGATCCCAGGACCCTGAGATCATGACCTGAGCCGAAGGCAGAGGCTTAACCCACTGAGCCACCCAGGTGCCCCCCAAAAATATAAGATTTTTTTTAAAAAAGATTTTATTTATTTATTTGACTGACAGAGATCACAGATAGGCAGAGGCAGGCAGAGAGAGGAAGGGAAGCAGGCTCCTTGCTGAGCAGAGAGCCTGATGCGGGGCTCGATCCCAGAACCCTGGGATCAGGACCTGAGCCAAAGGCAGAGGCTTTAACCCACTGAGCCACCCAGACGCCCCAAAATAGAGGATTTTAATCAATTTGAGAGAGAGTGTACACATGGCACAAGGGGGAACAGAGGCAGAGGGAGAGAGAATCTCAAGCAGACTCCATGGCAGCCCTGTGGCTCCATCTCACGACCCATGAGATCATGACCTGAGCCTAAATCAAGAGTCAGACACTTAACCAACTAAGCCACCCAGGTGCCCCTCATGAGAAAGTATATTACTGACCAATGGGAAGTTGAATCTGCTTCTAATGTTCTAAAAGTGTTTGGAGAATGGTATGTTGTTGTAGTCAGATTATTTTTCTGGGTATCTTGTTCAGACTTTTTTAGAAATCATTCTGCTTTTCTGCCTTAATAAGTACCAAAAGCCTGAGAGTGAGATTTTGGCTCTATTAATTTAGATGACATTTTTTCTTTCATTAGGCAATACTGAATTTTAGATATAGACTATTTAGTACGTGGGTTAGCAAGCTTTTTCTGTAAAAGGGCACATTGTAAATATTTTAAGCTTCAGAGGCCAGTGGTCTCTGTTGCAACTTCCTCACCTCTACCACTGATGAGCAGAAGCCGCCATGTAAATGAATGGGCATGACGATGTTTCAGTAAAACATCATTTATAACATTAGGTATGGTTTGTGGACCCCTGGTATAGAAGTTAGAGCTGAATCCATAGTGCCCTCAGGAAAGGACCTCAGAATTTTTTTGAGTTAGTTTTGCTTATGACCTTCTCCTAAATAAGAAGTGTAGAAATAATGAAATAAAATTGATAATCCCAACTAATTGATTATCTTCATTATGTAGGTTCTGACTCATAAAAGGTTTGTTTACATCTGCTAAACAGTTAACAGCTAATCCTATCATCTAATGATTTATAAATTTATTGTTAAGGTTATTGGATTAATATCTGTTTTCCTCGCTAGATGTAAACTTCACTTGAGATCAAGAATACTATCCCTTATGCCACTAGTGCCTAGCACAACTCCGGCCACGTAGTTGGCCCTCGTGAGAAGTGAGTTGAATCAGTGAATGAATTTCTCCCCTCTACCCCTAACACACCCTCTAGTATTCTCTTGACTTCTCTACCATTGTTCTCTTAGGCAGACACCTAAGCCAGAGTCAGGCCTACCCTGACTCCTGCCTCCCCTTCGCCTTCTCACATCTGGCCTCCTTTCACACCATGCCGTACCTTTCATGAACACCGGGGATGTAGGGTGAGCTGGATGCGGCCTTGCCCTCCTGGAGCCCACTGAGTGGAGAGATAAAGGAGTGGGTGGCAGTTCTGCCCCAGGCACTGAGATAACTCAGAAGAGTAGGATCTAACCTAGGCTACTGGACTAGTTAACGCTTTCTAGAAAAGATAGTCTGAGCTGGGTTCTGAAGGACGAGTGGAAACTGGTCAGCATGGAATCAGTGGAAGGCGTTCTAGGTCAAGGGAGCCATGTGGCGGAGTCTTGGGGGTGAAGGAGAATGGCTGTTGCCTTAACTGCAGTTAGCTCAGTGTGGCTGGAGAAGGGGGCTGAGAAGAGTGTGCCACAATGACAGGGGTCCGATCTCGAGGGGTCTTGTGTGTATGCTGAGGGAACTGGATTTTTGTCCTGAATTCTGCAGGGCTGCAGGGAGTGAGGGGATTGGATTCCCATCTTAAGCAGTTCTCCCGCAGCGTGGATGATGGGTCACAGGGACTAAGCCTGGTGGCAGGGAACTGAAGAAGAAACTGTTGCATATATGAATGAATAGGTACCCTCCCCGCCATGCTGAAGGTCATGACTAGAGAAATAGGCAGAACCGAAACGGATCCACTCTGTGAGACTAGAAGGGGGAGAGTAAGGAGTTCCATTCTGCTGTGTTCCTTCACACTAGCCCTTGTGTCTGTCCCTTCCTCCTCCCTCTGTGTAAGCTCACACCTCATCTTGTCATTCAGTTGCCAAAAGCCTTCAGAAGCTCTCATTCCCTACAGACTCCTTAGCCTGGATTTAGATCCATTCCCAAACTCTTTCAGATCCTGTTTCCTACTAACCCCATCTTGAATCCTCCGTGCCACCTAACTTTGGTACTCAGACTTTTCTAGACCACACCAGTACATTACCATCCTTGGCAATGCCCCTCTTACCCTTGGATTAGCCATTTCTTCTCTGTCCGACTCCTGCTCATCCTTTAAGACCCAGTAGGCCTTGTAAATTTTTCAGTGCTAGATGTTGTCTCATATATACTACTTATATTTTTTTCAAAAATATTCTTTATGTCCACAGCTGAGATACCATTAGAACTGTACAAAGCTTTTGGAAAAGTGGCCACTTATAAAATGATAGCTTCCTTATACTTCAGCAGTAACCATCAAAAAATATAATGGAAATGGATCCTATTCGTAACACCCAATAGAAATGTCATATGAGGGGCGCCTGGGTGGCTCAGCGGGTTAAAGCCTCTGCCTTCGGCTCAGGTCATGATCTCAGGGTCCTGGGATCGAGCCCTGCATTGAGCTCTCTGCTCCACGGGGTGCCTGCTTCCTCCTCTCTCTCTGCCTGCCTCTCTGCCTACTTGGGGTCTCTGTCAAACAAATAAATAAAATCTTAAAAAAAAAAGTCATATAAGAAAAAAAAAACTTAAGGGACACCTGGGTAGCCCAGTTGGTTAAGTGTCTGCCTTCAGCTGAGGTCATGATCCCAGGGTCCTGGGATCAAGTCCCACATTGGGCTCCTTGCTCAGCGGGGAGCCTGCTTCTCCCTCTGTCTGCTGCTCCCCCCGCCTTGTGCTCTCTAGCTGACAAACAAATAAAATTAAAGAAAAAAAAAAAAAAGAAAAAACTTAAGTACTCAGAATTTTTGTGAAGAAAACTTGAAATATAGTGACAGAACATTTGACTAAATGGAGAAATAGTTTATGTAGTGGGATTGGAAGAATCATTATGTAAACGTGTAGACTAACTTATAAAAACTTAATTTATAAGTGTAATTCCAGTCAGATGGGGGAAGGATAATGCATCAAAATGATTCGGGGCACCTGAGTGGCTCAGTCGTTAAGTGTCTGCCTTCGCTCAGGTCATGATCCCAGGGTTCTGGGATCGAGCCCCGCATTAGGCTCCCTCCTCAGCGGGAAGACTGCTTCTTCCTCTCCCACTCCCCCTGTTTGTGTTCCCTTTCTCGCTGTCTCTCCATCAAATAAATAAATAAAATTATAAAAAAAAAAAAAGAATGATTCTATATAACAAAAAATACTGTAAAATTGAAAGGTCACAAACAGGGAAAGAATATTTACAACACATGATAGAAGAGATTCTTAAAGATATGGATTCTCACAAACCAATGAGAAGATATTCCTTTTTTTTTTTTTTTTTGAGAAGACAAACATTGTAATAAAAATGGTCAAGAGATATGAAGAAGCACCATACTGAAGAAGAGATACCAATGAGCAATAACCATATGGAAAAATGTTTAAGCTCCCTAGTAAATGAGAAAATTCAAATTAAAATGAGGTAACAGATTTTTGCCCATGAAATTGGCAAGGGGGAGAAACTGGATAGTATCTATTATTGGCAAGAGCACAGGGACCTACGCACTCTTACTGTGGTATTGGTGAGTGAGCATCTTCCCTTTCTGGAGGGAGATCTGGCTGTATGTCTCAGAAGCCTTGAACAACACACGTAGCTTTTGATCCAGCAATTCTACTTCAGGGAGAATAGCCCAAGAAAATAGCTGGAGACATTCATAAGATATATGTGCAAGGATGATGTTATAGTATTATATTAATCTGGGAAAACTAGAAATAGCCCAAATTGACAGCAGAGATTTGGCTAAAAAAATTGGAGTATCTTAGTAAGTTGGTATACAGTGAAGCCATTTCGTATAATATTGCAAAAACTTATCAATGACATGGGAAATATTGGGGCAATACATATTGAGAAAAGGCTTTAAAGCAGTGGGTAAATTAGGATCCTTTTTTGTTGCATCTCTATCTCCACACCATATCTGTATCAAATTGGTTAGAGTTTCTCAAGTCTGGGACTGGTTGAAGTCTTGACTGTACCCTAACTTCTAAGGCCCCAGACTTCCAGAAGACTTCATATTTTCTGATTTTCACAGTCCTTTAAAGATCACTTTATTCTAAAGACAAGGAATTTTGAATCCATTTTTGGTACTAACAAACAATCTGAAGTTGTATAAAATTTTATGTGATTGATTGTGTCAGAGTTTACAGGATTCCTTTACATCAAAATTATACCCTGATCTGTATTCCATACTTGACAAGGTTTCCTTCAAGGTTATTCTACCTGTCTTAATATTTTCCCTGTTAGAGGAAAAAATTTCAAATGCAAGACCCTTTAACACTCAAAAAACTAAATAAAAGTGGATTTAGTTCTAACATCATGCTTTCATGAATATCTTCCATGGAGTTGTTAACACAGTACGGTACAGGTATCCAACAGTTTTAAAATAATCTAGCTAAGGTTGTGTGCGTATGCCTTAACATTTTGTATTATTATTTTTTTAATTTTCAGGGGCGATAGTCAGTTTTGTAGTCAAAAAGCAGCCATCTATTCATTGAATTTTACAGCAAATCCACCTCAAAGGATATTTAAACTTGTTGACCAGATTAATCCATCTATTTTCTGCGTTCATATTACAAACTGTAAGTATTTGATGGTGACATGCTTTAAGAAGCCCTGAAAGTTTTTTCTTTAAAAGGTTGTTTTATGGAGGGGCACCTGGGTGGCTCAGTGGGTTAAAGCCTCTGCCTTGGGCTCAGGTCATGATCCCAGGGTCCTGGGATGGAGCCCCGAGTTGGGCTCTCTGCTCAGCAGGAAGCCTGCTTCTCTCTCTCTCTCTACCCGCCTCTCTCCCTACTTGTGTTCACTCTCTATCTCTCTGTCAAATAAATAAATAAAATCTGAAAAGTGCTTTTATGGAAATATGTCTCATTCAGTTAGATTTAAAGAAATAATTTTATGGTTTGGCTAAGGTGCATCTTCTGAGACTGTTTCACAGGCCACTGCAAGTAACTTTTTTTTTTTTTTAAGATTTTATTTTATTTGACAGACAGAGATTACAAGTAGGCAGAGAAGCAGGCAGAGAGAGAGGAGGAAGCAGGCTCCCCGCTGAGCAGAGAGTCCGAGGTGGGGCTCCATCCCAGGACCCTGGGATCATGACCTGAGCCCAAGGCAAAGGCTTTAACCCACTGAGCCACCCAGGTGCCCCTGCAAGTAACTTTATAGACCTTTGGGCATGAGCATTTTCTTTAAAACTAATGTGCTTATGTAGTGGTCTTTTGAAATCTCATACTTTATTTCACTGGTGTTTATAATATGTGGACACGTATAGGAATCTAGGTTAATTTAGGTTATGTGTGTGTATTTTTTTTTTAATTTCCTCATGGTTTAATGTTTGAAAATCAGGTTCAGCTTTGGTTTCAATTTCCTTTTTTCTCTTTTATTTTTACTAAGAATATTTGCATGAAAACAGGATCTTTATTTTTATCTGAGCATTTAGCTCAAATAGGTGTTTAGATCCAAAGTACATGTAAGTTTAAAATGTTAACAAGATGTCTAAGATCAGAGATGTATTTGCAGTTTTATCAATTAAGCTTCATCATCTTTTCAGAACATCTTTATATTTTGAATTTGTTCCCTTGCAGTTTAAAACTAGGCGAATGCTCTGTGATTTTTTTTTTCTTTTTTTTTTTAGAGAAGGGAAGAGAAAGGAGGGGGAGGGGCAGAAGGGGAGAGAGAGAGAGAGAGAATCTTAAGCAGGTTCCACCCCAGGATGGACACAGAGCTCAAGCTCACAATCCGGAGATCATGACCTGAGATGAAATTAACAGTCGGACACTTAACCAACTGAGCCACCCAGAGCCACCCAGTGTTCTGGGATTTGTAATCTAAAGTAATGACTGCTCAGTCGTTGTCAGATTCTGTGACATAACACCACACAAGTGAACATACCAGCCCATTTCCTCCTTCTCCCAAGATATCCTATACACAGCACATTATTCTCCTGGGCTTTGGTTTGGAGGTAGCTGTGTGAGGGTAGGAAAAAATCATTTGTCCCTTGGCCATCTGCAGAGAGCTTTGCCTTAGAGGTAAATGCAGCAGGCTCCTCAGTCCATGGGCTGGAGAAAGATTGGTTATTATTGGCTTCAGTTGTGCTGTTTGCCTGCAGGCTTTAGAAACCGTTACTTACACACAATTAGAGAAGCAGGCTGAGTCTGAAGATCCTGTTTATTTAATAAGACTCAAGAAATTCTGGGTAAAGTAAATATGGAAAGAGAGGCTACTTTTTACACATCAACCTTAATGCAACTAAAAACTGTCTCCAAAATACTATGTTATATATATCATGTACATATTGTATGCTGATTTAGAATATGTTTTCTAAAAACAGATAAACCTGCGTTATCCTTTATTAATCCAGAAGTGCCTGATGAAAATAATTTTGATAAATTGATGAAAACATCTGGTGGTTTTTCCTTCAATTCCGAAGCAGAGATTTCTTTCTCAACCCAGTCAGACACTCCAGCTCCTGCTAAGTATAAGGTGAGCCACGAGCTGGAGCAAGGCCGCTCATCTTCTTGCAAATATCCCATCCTTGTTGGTTAATTTTTCAGTATGTTCTTAGCAAAATTGGCTTCCTCAAGACAGAATTCACATTATAGAGGTAAAGACGTAATGTTCATGCCTAGAAATCAAAGATCACAAAAATTAAAAATGAATAGTTGAGTTTTAACATAGGGTTTAAAGTTATTTATTCATTAGTAAGCCTGCATTTGTCTCTGCAGAAATCTTTGTACTTCTCCATCTTAAAAGACGCAGCAGAGTTCTTGAGTCATATTGCTAGGGGCACGGAGTGGATTGGTTGGGTGCCTTGGTCCTCTTCTCAAAGCTCTATTTAGTTTTGCAGACTTTAGGAAGATATGTGTTATTTTTTATCCATTCATTAGTAAACCTTTAAATGCTGTATATATTAACTTTGAATAAGTTTCAGATTTTTTGGAAGCATCTTTATTTTTTTTTTAAAGATTTTGTTTATTTGTTTGACAGAGATCACAAGTAGGCAGAGAGGCAGGCAGAGAGAAAGGGGGAAGCAGGCTCCCCGCTGAGCAGAGAGCCCGATGCGGGGCTCGATCCCAGGACCCCAAGATCATGACCCAAGCTGAAGGCAGAGGCTTAACCCACTGAGCCACCCAGGCGCCCCTGGAAGCATCTTTAAAGAGAAATACAGAAGCATCATGTGCTAGTTCTAAAAGTTAAAAATATGGAGGTACCTGGGATGGAAAGGCCCCTGTGTCCACTAAAATGCACATTGCAAATCAGTGTTTACAGATTGGTTTATATTCTGATTGAAATGTACCTATAAAAATATATGTATAGTAGTGTACAGAAGTAAGATTTATAGTTATCTACATTGTTCTGTAAGCATGCTTTCTTTTTTTAAAAGATTTTATTTATTTATGACCTGAGCCGAAGGCAGTTGCTTAACCAACTAAGCCACACAGGCGCCCTGTAAGCTTGCTTTTTTATTCAGTAATAAATCTTATGCAGATTCTCATATCAGTGTAAAAGTTAACATTTCTTGCAGAGCTTTCCAGATATTAATTCACACAACCCTGAAAGGGATATGTCATTGTTCCATTTAACTGATAAGAAAAACTTCTATATAGGAAAGTAACTTGGTAGTGCCACTGTTGAAGCTACATGTATTAATGATCAAAAGTATCCCTTCTTTGTATGTATCAGATTTTATTATTGACCCATTAACAGACATTTGTTTCCAGTTTTTCTGTTATAAATAATCCAGAATGAACATTCTTATAGATACTTATGTCTTTGATTTAATCCTTAGGATACCTTCCTATAACTGGATCAACTTAGTCAAAATGAATGGAAATTTAAAATCCATGTCAGATTGCCTTCTAGAAAGATTACAGGAGTTTAAACTTCCAGGTCCAGTGAAGGAGAGGATTTGTTTCCCCATATCCTTGTTGGTGCCAAAGCATTTGGATACTTTTAAATTCAAGAAAATTGGTTGTATGCACAATAGCTGTAAATTTTGTTCTGAATATTGGGGAAAGGTTTTATGTGGTTTGTTTTGGGGAAGGAAGGCTCATCAGTGTTATGATTTTAATGTGTACTATGTCTATTATTTAAATAATTACTGCTAGTAGAAAATAATTACCTTGGGGCACCTGGGTGGCTGCTCAGTCTGTTGGGCATCTGGCTTTAGCTCAGGTCATGATCCCAGGGTCCTGGTGTCGAGCCCCATGTTGGGCTCACTGCTCAGTGCAGACCTGCTTCTCCCTCTCACTCTGCACCTCCCCCTGCTTGTAAACTCTCTGTCAAGTAAATAAATAAAATAAAATAAAAAAACTACCTCTCTCACCCCTGTTCCTGGCCACTCAGTTCCTGTCTGCAGAGGCAGACACTATGTCAGTTTCTTATATACCTTTCTAGAGGAATTCTGTAACAAAAAAGCCTGCAGGGGAGCCTGGGTGGCTCAGTCGGTTAAGCATCTGACTCTTGATTTCAGCTCAGATCATGATCTCAGGGTTGTGAGATGGAGCCTGATACAGGGTTCCGCGCTCTGCCTGGGAGTCTGCTTGAGATTACATCTCCCTCTGTCCCCTCCCTGCTTGCGTATGCACCCTTGCGTGTGTGTGTGTACACACGCGTGCACATGCGTGCACACACACACGCTCTCATTCTAAAATAAATAAATGAATCTTAAAAAAAGAAAGCCTGCAAATAAAATAACATGCACATACACAGAAACACATATCCTTGAAAGAAAGGGGTGAAGCAGCCGGGTGTAAGCTCCACGTAGGCAAAGACCGCATCTGGTTTTTTGCTCATGACTGTGTTCCTGATGCCCGTAACGCTGCCTGGCACAAGGTAGGTGTCCGGTGTGTATTGCATGAATGCTTTCATAGCGCCGTAACACCTACTGGTTGGTCTTTTTGCAGTATGGGACTCCTCTGCAGACTTCAGATTCATTCTTGAGATTTCCCTCTCCCCTTACGTCATCTCTGTGCACTGATAATAACCCTGCAGGTAAGACACTGGGTATTTTTCATTCTCTCTCTAAATAGTTTGCTCTAAGCTTAAATTTATAGTAGTCATAATTAAACAGGCTTCAAAACTGGAACAGTCTTAGAGTTGAAAGAGGCCTCAAAGGTTATGCAGGTCAGATTTCCAACCATATCTTTCAGTCACTGCTTGAGCACTTGTAGTGATGGGGAACTCACTACCTGAAGCCAGCCTGCTCAGTTGTTTAACCCTTCTAGTTTTTGGAGAGTTCTTTCTCCACTGGAGCTAAAGTTTGTCAGTAACTAGTCTTTATTAAGCACTTACTGTGTGCTTGCATGTGTTTTCCCATTTGACTGCCACAGTAATCCCTGAAGGTCGGGCTATTCATTTTTTAGACGAGGAAACTGAGAAACATTCAGTCTCTTGTTCAGGCTCACTTAGGCAGTGGTGGAGCAGGGATACAGCCCACGCAGCTGCCTCCCACAGGACATGCTTGTTCTTTCAGGAGTCTCATAGAATCTCTTGGCAGTGGGAGGCCGCAGGTGTGGCTCTCCAATCCTTAAGGCAGCACCCCTGCGAAGAAGCTAGCTAAGTAGCGTATGGTGGCATGTGGCCCTAATGAAACATCATTTCGTATAGGAACAGAAATGGATTCTGTTGAAAAGACACTCAACCTTGCTCACGATAGGAACAGTGTAATTTAAAACCAAACTGAGGTACCATTTCCATGTAATGGCCTGGCAAAGCTCAAGAAATTTAAGGCTCTGGAGAAGTAGGCACTTATCTACACTGCTGGCAGGACTGCAAATTGTTACAATCTCTGTGAAGAGCAATTTAGCAATATGTGTCAAAATTGCAAATGAATATGCCCTTTGACCCATTGTTCTGCTTCTAGGAGTTGGTCCTACAGAATCTGGCCCGCTTACAAAATAGTACATTGCAGCATTGTTTGTGATGGCAAAGCTAGAGACAACTTAAGTGTCTGTTAATGCGGAACTTGGTGAATAAATTATGACATATATATTATAGAATACTAATTATCCCTTAAAAAAAAAAAAAAAAAGAGGAGGAGGAAGCTCTTCATATTCTAAGATAGCCTGAACTCCAAGATACATTGTTCAGTAAAAAAAGCAAAGGGTAGAATATATAGCATTTGTTTTTTACCAAAAGGGGAAAGAAATACTAAAAATATATGTATACACACACACTTTTATTTGCATAGAATATTTCCAGAAAGATACACAATAAACTTGATGCTGATTGTCTCTGGGGACAAGCAGTTGTCTCTGGTGGTGGCTGGGGGGGGGGGTGGGAGGGGACAAGCATTAGAGGGACAGTCTCTCAGTATCTTTTTGTGCCCTTTGAATTTTGAATCGTGTGAGAGCATTACCTATTAAAAATATTTTTTTTTAAAGATTTTATTCATTTATTTGACAGAGAGAGATCACAAGCAGGCAGAGAGGCAGGCAGAGAGAGAGGAGGAAGCAGGCTCCCTGCTGAGCAGAGAGCCCGATGCGGGGCTCGATCCCAGGACCCTGAGATCATGACCCGAGCCGAAGGCAGCGGCTCAACCCACTGAGCCACCCAGGCGTCCCTAAAAATATAATTTTTAAAAAAGATTTTATTTATTTATTTGACACAGAGAGAGAGAGACAGCAAGAGAGGGAACACAGCAGGAGAAGTGGGAGACGGAGAAGCAGGTCTCCCAGTAAGCAGGGAGCCCAGTCCAGGGCTCAATCTCAGAACCCTGGGATCATGACCTGAGTGGAAGGCAGATGCTCAATGACTGAGCCACCCAGGCACCCCTAAAAATATAATTTTTAAGCCCTTTTAAGCATGTTGTATATCTCTGTTATAACTTATTTTATGGTTTTACTTAGACTACAATTTTTTAGTTACCATTGAACAGTTGAAAAATTTATTCTCTCTTTTATTTTCCCTTGGGAATATTATGATTTCTAGCATTTCTGGTGAACCAAGCTGTTAAGTGCACCAGAAGAATAAATTTGGAACAGTGTGAAGAAATTGAAGCCCTGGGCATGGCTTATTACAGCAGTCCTAAAATTCTGAGGGTAAGAATTATTTTGAAGTGAAACTTATTCGTCAGATTTGTTTTCTGTTCTTTTCACCCTTTTGAAGTATGACAAGTATAGAATAATTGCAGTACATGATTGACAACTCAAGTTTAAATTTTTCTTCTCTAGTTCTTTGGTATGCTGATACCAAAGATACTGAAATAATCACTTAAATGATTTTTATTTTTATATAGTTCATATTTTGCTTTTGTTCATTGTTTTGTTTTTGGCTTTCAATCATTTTGATGGTAACCAATAATTCTTTCTCCTAAATAAAAAAAAAGACTTTATTTAATAACACAAAACTTCAGAAATTATAAAAACATCTTAATGTCTGTGACAGAAATGATCACATTAGCACCAAGAAGATACCTGAGAGGCCAGAAAAGATAGAAAATCCACTTTCTGTTGGCAGATGAGATCAGCAGAAAAGAACAGGCAGGAAATAGGATTGCTGGCAAAGAAGAGGTCATGGGAGGTCAAGGCAGTATAGAGGCCCTTTCTTTCTGGTTGTAGTGACTGAAGCCTAGAGGGATAGGAGAGGCCACTGGGCCTCTTATTTGGTGCATGCCATGGAGGGTTGTAAGAGGTGAAGATTTTGTTCAGTGATGAAAAAAAATCATATGATTATTGTGAATTTCCACCACCTGATTTCCTTATTTTGGAGGGAACGGGAAAGGAAGTAGGGTGGTCCATGACATCAATATTCATCTGGACTGCAGTCTTCAGAATTGAGTTGAAGATTTTCTTCTCCTTTCCCATTCCGTCTTCCCCTCTTCTCGTAAGTCAGCTACGTAGGCCTGTGAATTCTTCCAGTTATATGCCTTCTCCTGGTGGTCCTGGCAGTAGCCTGTCAGGTGTGCAGGCACAACCCTCTCAGCACAGGCCTCCCCAAACTTGTCTACTCTGCCCCCTCCTTTGACCCTGTAGGGTGTCTTGTGATGAGAAGTGGCGGGGGCGGGGCTGGGAAGTGAAGAGAGTACTCCTTTAGAAGTACTCCTTTAGAAGGAGTCCTTGGCTCTGTTGGGGAGGGAGGAGCTCACTGTTGAGGGGCTTGGGCTGTAGGTGCGAAGAGCAGTTAGGAGGCATTGGAAATTGTCTGGGCCAGCGATGGTGGCCTTTTGGTGTGGACAGGCACAGCAGGGTGACCAGATGGCTAGGAGCCACATCTTCCCCACAGCGCTGTGTCACTGGTGACCATGTGGAAAGTACCAAATGATTACGCTGAAGCAGGGAGACTTCCTGAGACCAGCTTGTGGGGCTGCTGTATTCTATTAAGCTTCCAATACGAAGGAAATGAATATAGAAGGAAGATAAAGCTACCTCTTTGATTATGACCTAGATATGAAAGAAAATATGTGGGTTGTAAGTCTTGATTAAGGAAATTCTGTTTTCCTCCTTATGAAGTCTTTCATAAGGTGATTATGCCCTTTAACCGGTAGTCTGAAAAAGCAATAAAAATGCTTTTCGTTGTACTTAACAAAATTTGTTGTTTCTTTTTGTGTAGGTGCCTGGTTTAAGAACAGAGGCAGAGGTAAGAGTATTTCTTGATGGAAAGTAAGCTAGTTTATAATACGTTGTCTTATTTCTAAGCCTTTTGAAATGAATACACTTAGTATTACAAGGATATCTTACTGCCAGTAACTACGATGTTTGCCAAAAGAATGAAATGAGGAAGCTCTGTAGTGGCCCAACCTTTCGTAATTACAAAAGGGGGAGGTTTCCAAATTCCCTGTTTTTGCAGTTAGCACTTTTTCACATTTAAATGGCATGACTGTGTTCACAGACAATGGGTGTGATCGGCTTCTCTGCTTTCCTGGCCTCCCTTGAGATCTTGGTCTCTTGTCCAGAGAGCTGGCTAGCTCCCAAGACACTGTCTGTCTCTGGTAGAAGATGGAAACCTCTTGCCTGTGTATGTCTACACCTGTGTAGGGGTGGAACACTCCTGGGGTAGCTTCAGGGGTCGAGGTGTGGGTGTAGGTTCTATTGGACCCCAGCTCAGGGGTTCTGTCAGGCTGTGATCAGGTGGTCAGGATCCTTCTGTGGATATGTCAGAGCAAAGGAACATGGATCTAACACCCCTTGTTTTTGGGTCTGTGAGTACAGTCCCCAAGGAGGCCTGGGGCGTTGGCCTTGTTATGGTCTCCCAGAGCTTGTGGGATTGGCTGGCCTTGGTTCAAAATTCAGCTTTGCCATCGTTTTCTCCTGTGACATGTGCCTCATTCCCCCCAGTTGTCCAGCAGATGGTAAGTGTCCGCCCCTGAGGCTGACGTGATGTCCCAGTGGGGGAGTGCACGTGATAGGCTCTGTGCAGCGTCTGGCACCCAGGCGGCACTTGGGACAGTGATACCTGTTGTAACTGATTTCATTAAGTCTCGAGATACAGACGTGTTTGAGGTAGACACTTGGAAGGAAATAGTCTTGTGACTTTGGACTTCACACCTCTATGTGTGGGCCTGGATTTCCTCATCTGTGAAGGTGTTTTTCAAACTTGTTTTAGTTACAAAGTTTTTTCAAATGTGATCTCAAGCAGAACTCTCCCAGTGTGTAACTTGGATTGAATCCAAAGCCCCTGGTTGGAGCAGGGGTGGGGGCCAGAGCCCTCCACCTGCCCAGTCTCCCCGTCTCTCTTCTTTTTGGTCCTTCTGAGGAATCTTTTGTTTTGTTTTGTTTGTTTTTTCTATTTTTTTTTTTTTTTTCCTTCTGAGGAACCTTGTGGCTTCCAGGAACACAGGGTGAAAACCATGTAATAGACTAGCTCTCAAATACCTCCAGCCTCTAGAAAGTGCTTTGATTCTACCATTCAGACCTTGAACTGTCTATGGGGGCAGCAAGTCCATCAGCCTTGTTCATGACATATCTGTAGTGCTAAGGCGGGGCCTAGTATGTATTGGGCACTCAGTGGGTTATGTGTCCATTGAGTAAATGCCTAGGAGATCGATTCAATTAAGCAGGGAAGACCTACTGTGAGGATGATGGGATGTTACGGGAAGGCACGTACTGTGTGCCATATTCTGTTCTAAGTCCTGTGCGTGTTTGAAGTCTGTTAGTTGTCTCAGCAAGCCTAGGAGGCAGGTCCTGTTCTTGTCCCTCCCTGGCACAGGAGTTACAGAGCAGGGGATTAGCTTGCTCAAGGCTGTGAGGAAGTGGCCGACCTGGAACAGGAATCCCCAAAGACCTTACTCTCAACCGCGACCCTGGACGAGCTGTACTGTGTGCCAGGCCCCAAGTTACAAGCTTCACGCATATTCTTTCTGCGCACCCCATAGCCATGCAGTCTGGAAGTGGCGGATGGGGGCTTATAACTCAGATCTGTGTGATACCAGAGCTTTAACGGACAAACATGTCAACTCATATCAGAGATTTGCTTGAAGTTCTTTTTAAAAGGCAACTTCCAAGATTTGTTAGGTGATGAATATAAATATTGGATCCAGGCTTCTCATTAAATGCAGCCTGTTAGGATTGCCTGGAATAGTTAATATCTATTGAATCTACCTATTGAATATCTATTAAACCATGACAGATGAAGTTATGGCTCTATAATTTCATCATTTAGTATCCGTTATGGGGCGCCTGGGTGGCTCAGTGGGTTAAAGCCTCTGCCTTCGGCTCAGGTCATGATCCCAGGGTCCTGGGATCGAGCCCCACATCGGGCTCTCTGCTCAGCAGGGAGCCTGCTTCCCTTCTTCTCTCTCTCTCTGCCTGCTTGTGATCTCTGTCTGTCAAATAAATAAATAAATAAATAATCTTAAAAAAAAAAAAAAAGTATCCATTAGTCCTTTGCCACAGGGTAGTGTGGGAATGGGATACGGCCAAATAGGACATTCAGGAAACCAGAGTAGCTCTACCATTTTCATTCTGTGACCGTTCCAGTGGCTCTTGATAGACCAGGGCAGCTCTTGCCATCTACACTCGTCCCTCCGTCTTTCCAAAGCTTGTCTAACTCAGACCCTTTGGTTTCTGCCAACCGCGCCCACATACCACTGGAACGGCTCTGTCGAGGCGAGGCTGGTGTGGAAGGGTGTGCATTTTCTTGGAAGCCTGCATTATTGCGGAACCAGGGGTCAGTAGGTTCAGATAAAGGACTCCAGGGTTGTCTTTCGAGGACATAAGCTGAAGAGCTCATGACCTCGTAGCAAGGGACTGCCTCCATAGCTCTCACACTCATCCACAGGGCTTGTTGCACAGATGGTGTTGTGGGGATTGGTGTTGCCCTTGGCCACCCTTGTCACATGCAGCTTGTCTTTGCCTCTGAACCATGTGACGTTCTTAGAGGTTTGACTTACAAGGACAGTCACAGGTCTTCTTGGTCATGGGAGCAGACAGCTGAGGACTATTTATTTATCTATAAAATGACAGCTTAAATACTTAGTGATTTTGAATTATAAACAGAATGGTACACAATCGAGGGCACAGTTCAAAGCAATGTAAATGACTAGATACAAGGTAGATTCCTTCCCGAGCAGTGGTTTCTAGGTGCTGACATTTAGTACAGACGTCAGATTTGTCACACAGTGTGAAGAGGCCCAACTCCTTAGAGGGCTGAGCCATATAAAGGATTGCTTGCTGCTTGTCACTCTGCTGCCAGTGGCCATAAATGAAAGATGTCCTTTAATAGCATTGGGTTATTCAGGACTTCCTGATTCTGCTTCAAAGATTTCTCTTCCCATGATCCCACCACCCAGTATGTACATGTAAGGGTGTGTGTAGAGGTTGTGCATGAATTGGGTCAAGCCTGTGTATAGGGAGGGTATGGGGATTAGGGGGATGTGTCCTGGGACTGTGGAGCACGTGCACGTGTGTGTACAGAGCGACTGCGCTGACTTGTAGTTGCTGTGCTGTGATGGGGAGCACATGCACGCGTTGGGTGGTGTGATGGAGCTGTGAGTGTGTGTGAATGAGCTATAATTTCATTTTTAAGTGTACAATTCAGTGGTTTTTCGTGCATTCACAAGGTTGTGCAACCATCACTACCACCTACTTCCAGAACATTTTCATCACCTCAGAAAGAATGCCTGTGCTCATTAGCCGGCTCTCCTCATTCTCCACTCCTCTCCCTCAGCCCCTGGGCAGCCACTAATCTACTTTCTGTCTCTACGAGTTTGCCTGTTCTAGACATTTCCTATAAATGGGCTCATGTAATATGTGACCTTTTGTGTCTGGCTTCTTTCACTTAGCATGTTTCCAAGATTCATCTATGTGGTGGAATGAATCAGCCCTTTATTCTATTTTATGGATATACGATATTTTATTTTTCCATTTATCAGTTGATGGACATTTGCATTGTTTTCGGTTTCTGGCTGTATGACTGCTGCTGAGAACAATTGTGTACAAGTTTTTGTGTGAACGTAGGTTTTCGGAGAGAACCACTTTTCAAGTTTGGGTTATATTCTCTAGTATTTCCTATGTACAGGCATGTACGTGTAAACATCTGCATTTTTGCGAGTGTACAGTTGGAGTATGCGTGTTGTGCTGTTGCGTGTTTTTCCCTGCTCGGCAGTGTGTTCGCGGAGGTTTATCTTCAGGCTCTTGTCACTGTGACCCATTCATCTCTGTGGGGCAGTGTCCTCCGTGAGCCAGCTCTCCTTCACTTCACAGATCCCTGTCACTGTTCAGTCCGTCCTCGTGCAGTCTTTGAATAAAACACTGAGCCGCCTGGAGGACACGGTCCGATTGAACCAGACTCTGGTCGAGGCTGGGGATGTTAAAATCTGCACTAACGTCATTCTCGAGGTAGGTGCCCGATTTGGCGCGGAAAGCTGAGTCTGTGTGTGGCAGACTCAAGCCGCATGGTCCTGAGGGGTCACTGGACGCCCTCCGCAGAAGGTTCTGGCTCATCCTGGGATATTGGTTCTTGACTTGCCCTCCTGCCTGCCGGCCCACTGTACCATTAGAGGATGCTTCTTTAGGTAAGGGCTCTGAAACAGTCACGTGTGATTTTTCTCCACAAACCTAGGGACTTTCAAGAATATGTCAGAATGTGTTTTCTTTTTTTTTTTTTTAAAGATTTTATTTATTTCTTTGACAGATCACAAGTAGCAGAGAGGCAGGTCGAGAGAGAGAGAGAGAGAGAGGGAAGCAGGCTCCCCGCTGAGCAGAGAATCCAATGCAGGATTCGATCCCAGGACCCTGAGATCATGACCTGAGCCGAAGGCAGAGGCCTAACCCACTGAGCCACCCAGGCACCCGAGAACACAAGAATGTGTTCTTGTTGCTGTTGTTTTAACACATTTCCCCTGCGGAGATCGATCACGTTTTGTTCAAACCTGCTGATTGGGAATTCCTGTAACTAGGTAGAGAGAGGCTCAAATGGCCCTGGCAGCGGGGGGTGGTGCTGAGGCGTTACCTCCCGAAAGCTGAGGGGACAGGAGAGACAAGCTTCGAGTGGAGAAATGGGAAAGGACTTGCCCGCTCTATGTACTTTGAGGTCCCGATGCAGCTACTGAAACGCAGCGGGCACAGGTGTGTGTGGTTCCCTCTTGTTTTCAGGTGAAGTACAGCATCACGTACACAGACGCAGGGGAGGTAGCCCAGGCTGGCCTTGCTCTCCTCCTGGGGACGGTGAGCCGGGCAGTGGTCGCGCTCGAGCAGAAGTTTGAAATTTATTTCATTCAGGTGAGTTTGATCAATGTTGTACATGTATTTAATTGCAAGTCAAAAAATCATAACTTCTTAGTGAAAAAAAAAAATCTGTTGAGAAGTCTTACCGTCTTTCCACTTGTACTAAACAAAGGGCTTTATGTAGCCTGTGTTTGTAACAAAATCAGGCAGAGTCCTTGTATCTTTTTCCTTTCCTGGAATAAGATTCTCTTCCACGGGAGCTCCTTCTTTTATAGAACGATGCACTCCTACACTCAGCAGATATATTTATAGGTCTGAGTAGGGGGAGAAATTCTTTTATTGGTTAGAAATCCCAGATTTGACTGTGAGAAGTGTTTTTATTTTCACCCTATTTCCTTATTAAAATGAGAATTATGGGGGGGCATTTCTCCATTGTCTTTCAGCAAAATACAAAGCCAGTTCCTCTCAGCGGAAACCCTGGTTATGTTGTGGGGCTCCCATTAGCTGCTGGATTTCGGCCTCAGAAGGGATATCCTTTTTGGTTCTGTGGAGAAGGCTGATTTCCCGGTCTATGTGTGTGTGGTGCTCTTCCCTTTATCGCTGAGGGTCCTGGGGGCTGGAGGTTAGTTTTGGCCTGGACTCCTTGGAGGGGGGTGCTCTAGGGGTGGTGGGTCTGCTGCACAGCAGACAGGGCCATGTGGACACTGGTGGTTGGGGGTGGAACAGCATGGCCCAGGGAAATGTGTTTTATAATGAAAATCTTAGGACAGAAAAGTTGACAGACTTTTAGATATATTTAATTACACACGCAAGCAGAAACTCTTAAATTTAGTCATTTGGAAAACTTGGAATGATTTTGGAGGAACAGTTTCTGAGGATTTTTCTTCTGAGAATCTACTCAAGAAAAATAGAACTGTTTTTTGCTCTGCCCTGGGAAATAACTGTCAAGATCACAGAGGCCCAGAGAAGGGATATTTGGGTTTCAGTCATGTCTCATGTCACACACCTGTCACCATGGTCTGAGAATCAGACTGCTTTAGTCCTGGGTGATAGTCCCTTAACTTTCTGTGAATATCTGGGATTATTCAGACCATGAACAGATTCGGACAACTTACTATTCTTCGTAGCCTAGCCGAGCAAGATTGCTTCGCAGTGGAGGGGATCCGGGCCCCCGTATTATTTGGTTACGACATGCAGTCTGGCTGTAAACTAAGGTAAGAGAAGAACTTGCTGCTTTTGGAACTTGTCTGAGTTGATCAAATCTCCGTATCAGCCAGCGAGCACCTGTGAAAGCCGCAGTGTGACCCGTTAGCACTAGTGACTGTACTTGTGTTTTCTAATTGTAAATTTCACAACCATAAACCATTTGTCATGATTCAGAGGAAAACTGTTGCAGTCATTTTTCCGGTCACATGTGGCAGGGTACAAATCCCAAGGCTTTTGTAGGTTTTAAGGTTGCACAGCACTTGAGGTCACAGTAAGAATACTTTGCTTGGAAGTCCTTCCAGTATTTCTGAATCTTAATATATGTATTGCAACAAACCCAAGGAGAAGCAGCCTGAATGTGACCTCTGTTTTTATCTTTTTACTATCAAACGTATATATAGTGTCAAATGTCAAACAGCCCTGCATGGCTTATAAAGATGCCAGCTCCTACCCTCATTTCTCCCACTCTGCAGGCAATCACTTGCAGCTCTTATAGCTGATTTTTTGGAAATTTACTGCCAAATCTGTCGATAACCTATATGTAATACTACTTCCTGACACTTTGGTTTTATGAATTGTTGAGTTCCCACTATGGAAGACAAGGATTTGTCTCTTTCCCCTTTCTTCCCCTACCCTACAACGCAGTCACTTAACCATCCCTACGTCCCCCTAAGGCAATTACATCATTGTTTTGTTAGACTAACAGACACCATTTACATTATTCGTTCTGATCTGTTTAGACCAGTATTTCTCAGAAGGTGTTCCTTGGATTACATTTCCAAAGAGTCAGTAGGGATATGTCTGTGGTCCAGTTAATGTGTTTGAGGAACACCAGATTGAAGTTAAAAACAACAATTCCTTACTATAAGGACTTCTCAGAGCCTTTAATATGGTGAGCCTTTAATATAAGAGCCTTTAATATGGTGTGCTCCAGGAGGGACATAGGAATGCAATATTTCCCAAACTTTTGGCCACAGACCTCTCCTTGTACAGAGCCTCTCAATGGAACGCAGTTTGGGAAACACTGTTTTGTTTCTCCCTGGCCAACCAGGATTTCTGAGTTAGAGATTTGGCTTCTGTCAAATAATCCGTTTGGAGAGAGAGAATAAGGCAACTGGTGAGGGCATGCGTGCTGTTGAGGCCTGTGAGAGCTGTTGGAATGAGCAACAGCCCCATTCCACTGACCTCTTTTTCCTTCCCAAGACTGCCCAAAGCCATGGCGTGCCGGCTCGCGGCGCGGAGAGTGAAGAGCCTCCTGCAGAGCCAAGGCTTCCCGGACTATGTGGCCCCTTTTGGAAATTCCCGGGCCCAGGATGTGCTGGACTGGGTACCGGTCCACTTCATCACCCAGGCGTCCCACATGAAGGTAAAGGGGAAGTTGAAGGCCACCTGTGACTTGCGTCTCCTCCTCCCACTGCTCCTCGGCCCCCCGGGTTGGGGGGGGGGGCGGGTAGAGGCAGCTGGGAGAGCCACCTGTTGAGGCAGCCGGTGGCTCTGGGCAGGAACCCCGGCTTTGTTATCAGCTGGGCCTGGGTCTTGAAAACTGATTTTGCCCTTTGTTAGCTCTCTTGCCTTTGAGGCTTCGAGCTGTTTCTTCGTCTGTGAAATAGGGAGTGAGATCTATAGTATCAGCCTCATGTGGTTGTTGAGTTCAATGAGGTAACATGTGTGGGGCCTCGGGGTCGCTCCAAACATAGGGATTCACCACCGTCCTGACTGCTCCTGTGATCATTGGTGTGACATGAGGCATCGTCATGAGACAGAGGAGTGTGAGGACTGTGGCAAGAAGTGAGACTCCTGTGGGCATCGCTGTCCCAGCCATTGTTCCCTGGTCTATGAAGGCAGCCCACACGTGAGAGCTTTCCATTCCAAAGTTCCCCGAAGAGTTTAATGGAAGTCGACATCCTACAGAGAGGTTCCTGATCACACGTGATTCCTCTGCCCACCTTTCTCTTTTGTCTCAGCCGTCAGAGTGTGGGCGGCTGCTCTCCGGCTTATCCTTCAGTCGCCCAGCTTTTGCTGGTGGCGGCTTCTCAGGCCTCTCATTATCTGCTTAGCATATTTATAGCCGGGGGACAATGGGGCGAGCACTCGCTCTCCAGCTCCGAGCCGGCCCTCCTCCTGAGCCCCCAGCAGAGCCCGCTGATGACTCCGTCCCTGCTGTTCAGCGGCTCAGTCTTGGCTCAGTTTTGCGGCCTCAGTGAAGCAGGCGCCTGGCTTCTGGCTTCTCAGAGATGGGTGAAGACATTGTTGCTGCCCCCTCAGAAGGGAAAACAGGTTGGGAGGAGAGGCAGCGCAGACATGCGCACTGTCGGGGTCTGTGCTGTGCAGGGAGCTCAGAGGCCTGGAACGGCTTTTGCACCTACGTTGCAGGAAACTCAGGGGGCAGTGGCCCCCGAGCCTGCGCCAGGCCCGCGTCTGCTGGCTGCGTGTTGCCTCTTCTAATAACAGATCCTCACAGACTTTTCCAGCCTGCAACCTTCCTAAAAGGCAGTTCCCAGCTAAGGAGTTCCATCCGTGCCTTTTTGGCAGGAACCAAATTTAGCAGGCTTGCTAGCTTTTCATGCCCTGAAGAGGCATATTTTAAAAAGCTTGTTTTTGTGGGAAAATTTAAAACATACACAGAAGTAGAATATTACAGTAGAATTCCTTCTACCTGTCATGCAGCTTCAGTGGTTATCACATTTGCCAACAAACACGATGTAAAGGCCCGGGACAAGGTTGGGAAGGCCCTGGCCCCCATGGCCACTCTTCCCGGGGCAGAGGCCTCAGGCCTGCTCCCACATCTCCAACCTGCTTGGGTCACACGGAGAATTCAGAGTTCGTATCTTTTACAGCTCATGGACTCCACTGTGTCATCCCCCCCCCCACCCCGTGTAACAGCTTAATTGCCAAGTGATGAGGTTAAATAAAGGAAAGCATTTATATTTCTTCTGGATAGCAATTGGGTTTAAATTCTGTGACTAATGCCATCCTCACCCTCCTCCCCACCCAATGCCAGCTTCTCTCCTCAGGAATCTCTGAGTCGGATGAGGTCGGGCCGTTAATGCCCAAGGTTCCATGGTTTGGTGTTGGGAGCTCCACAACTTCCAAGTAATACCGGCTTCTTCCGAAACAGGAGAGGATGGAAAATGATGCTTTAGGTGTTAAAATATTTTTGGAGCATTGAGTACTTGAAAATATGTGCTCTCAGCTGTTTTTAACTGAACTTCGAGTCTCTTCACTCTCTTGTTCAGAACATTTTGTAATATGTGAAACGTTTTATAATTAAAACTCTGAACTGCAGATTAAGTTTGACATGAGGTTGTGTAATGTTCAGATTGATTAATGGCATTTTGTTGTGTAGGACTCTTGCCAGCTCCCTGTGGCTTTGGTGATAGAAGTGAAGTGGACTAAATACGGGTCCTTACTAAACCCACAAGCTAAAATAGTAAATGTGACTGCAAGTCTCCTCTCATCCTCCTTTCCTGAGGTAGGTCTAACTTGGGTTTCAAGGTCTGGGTAAAGATGTGAGTCCAGACAAAACTCAAGTGTGATAATGAAATTTATTTCGTGAGAGAATTATTGAACTTTAATCTGAATTCTTAAAACAATTCAGCAATCATTTTATTAGAGAAAAAAATCCCACTGACAACAGTTGACACTAGCATTCTTGTTCAGATTTGATCTTTAACGTTCTTTGAAAATGGAGTTGTGACCGACACTGGTGGGTTAGGACAACCTAGGGAAAAACTCTCTCACCCAAGTGAGCAGCCAAGGAGCCCTCCGCATGCCTTGGAGAGGCACCGACCCTGCTGGGCCAAAGAGAATGCAGCCTGTCCCGGCTTTGTTATCCTGAGCACGTGAGCGCACGCCGGAAGGCAGGGCTTGTAACACTCTTTTCATTACAGACCAACTCAGGAAATGAGAGGACGGTTCTCATTTCCACTGCGGTTACTTTTGTGGATGCATCTGCACCTGCCGAGGCAGGCTTCAGAGCTCGGCCAACCATCAACGCCAAGCTGCCGTTTAATTTCTTCTTTCCATTTGTTTGACGTAAGTTGCTAATTGCCTCTAGAATCGCGTGCTGTAGGGCCTGGACTCCTTGGAGACATCCTGGTATTCTACCTCTGACCCATGGGGTTACCCTCCGACCACACACTACCCCTCTGTCCTCACTCCACTCTTTTTGGAAGTTTTATTCTCCTCGGTTGGACCTTAGAACGGGGCACCGTCTGGTCTTGGTGATTTCCAGTCCCATCAGCCCGTAGGTCACGTGCAGAAACCAAACTGCACCTTTGGGAAGATGGTAAAGGGCACAGACCCGGAAGTAGAGGAGGTGTCGAGGGTTTGTCCAGCTTACGCATCCTCTGCTTCAGTGTGAGTTATTTTTAAAATACTCATTGTTTGTAGTTCAGGTTTTCTTTTCAGGTCCCACGGAAATGAGTACAAAAATAGCAAAATATTGTATATAAAATCATGCAAGTAGCAGACTCGGCCTCATGAGGGGCTCTTCCCCCCAGTGTCTTCATTCTGTGGAGTCTTAGGTCTAATTGCGGTTTCAGTGGCAGGCACCGGAGCGCTCCATGTGGAGGGCTGCATGGGATGCCACAGAGCAGTTCCAAGCAGTGGATGCTGGAAAGGATAGAGTAGGAGGGCCCAAGGGAAGGAGTTTCTTTTATATGTTAATTGTACAGTAATTGAGAAAAATGTTGTCGGGAGGCAGGACAAGGTAGAGCCAGTTAGAAGATGGAGGCTGCCGAGGAGGGGGCTGGGTACCTGAGAACAGCTCTCTGGCGGAATCTGCGCGGAGAGGAGCTGTTTAGAACAGCTTAAGATGGTAAGACTTTTCTAGATCGGGCTGGTAGCTAAGGTAGCTTCCTTTTCTCTTTCAGAATGCTCATAGGAAAGGATGCCTTGGTTCCTCATACATGTGAAATGTGAAAAAGTATATTTGATGAGATTAAATTTTATATACAACTTCGTACTTTTCCAGCTTTGTCGTTCATTTTCAAGCAACAGTCCAGAGTTCAACGTGGGAAGATATAGTTTGTGGTACATTGTGATATGGGGTGAGAATGGGATGGGAAGCTCTTGGTCATGCCAAGACAGAGCAAGCCTTCCCACAGACTTTCCCTCCCAGCCCCCAAAACCCGAGCTGGGTGGGGTGAGGCAAAAGCATCAAACCAAACCTCTCCCTGAAATGGCCCCAGGAGGGGCAGCTGTCTTTGTCATCAGAGGTACACGCCCGTGAGGCAGGGGTCTTCTCTTTGGGACGGAGCAGGCACACGTCTAGTTGACCTCAGGAAGGAGTCCGTTCTGTCTCAATAGCTTGCTCAGTCTTTCAATTTCTCGTTCCTATCATTACAAAAGCAGATACATAACTCAGTTTACCTGCCGCGCCTCACCAGGGATGTGGCAACCATTCAGTGGGCCCCAAGGACACAAAACTGAATGAATGCTACGCTCCTGGTGGGGTCTGCCAGCGGACCTGCCACAGTCAGCTGGGGTCCACTGGGGAACAGCAGTGACAAGAGGTCCTCAGGGAGGGGCACCTGGCACAGCTCTGGGGAAGGAGGCGATGCCTAATCTGAAAGGACAAGGAAGACTGAGCCAAGGGCAGTGTCCGAGCAACGACCTGGCAGGGAGAAGCACCGTGCTAAACGGAGACAGATGGCATTTTCCCAAAAGTATCTTCTTACCTTTTCAGAGCAACTGAATTCAAGGTGTTGGATCTTGGCGGCCAACTGTATATTTATCTGTTTTAACCTCAGCAGCTGCCGTTCTGAACGTGTCTTAACTGAGATAATTATTCCTGTAAAATAATTGAGGGTTTCAGTGATACAGGTTTGTGATTTAACCACTTGAAAAGAAACCTCCGTCTTCCGAGTGTGTACAGTTGGGCAGACAAAACAGTCCGTCGCTTAAAGGCATTAGAACCTGGAAGGTCAGATTTTTCATTTCTGAGCTCCTCACTAACCAGTAGGGAAATATTTCCCTCCAGCTCACACGGGCCAAGAAATCCTTTATTGGTCACTTGGCCAGATGAGTGTTAAACTCCCTCACACAGAGCTTGTTGACGACAGTGCTGGTGCCCAGCCATTAGACTGCCACTTTTGGTTTCCCGCCTCCCACAGGCACAGCCAGTTGAGTTTAGCTGTCAGATGAACAACTAAGGCTTGGCCAACAGAGGGGACATCAGCCTTGTCTGATGGCTCCCACATGCCCACGTCACAGTGGGAACGTGGCCTCAAAAGGATGTGTAGCAACTGGGGATGCTCCGTGCCTTCCAAGTGAGAGCGACCATGTCTGGACTTGGTGGGTGTGAGGCCCGCAAGCACTGGCCCCTTGTCGCTGGCATTCTTGGTTGTCTGAGTCCAACTGAAGCCTGTGTTGCTTTTTTAGACCTCTCATGTCCTGCCACAAAATTTGATGGCAGTGCAACTGTGGGCATTAGGCAGTCCTGTGGCCTGCCGCCATCCAGACCAAGAAAATGAACAAATCTCAGGGATTTGGTTTTATCTGCAAAAGCAAATCTCACCATGGTGGGATACGAGAGTAAAGGGTAGTAACTGTGTTCATGAGTCGTTCACCGTAATGGTTTATCTACCTCCGTGGTATAGAACCTTTGCACAGAGCATTTTTCTATTAAATGAGTAATCAATTAACATAAGCATGTTCAATAGTAAGTGAAAAACTTCCTTTATTTCCCTTGACAGAGCCCAAATGAATATTCTTAATGGGCTTTCATGAGTAGATCTACACTGGCTCCTAAAGCCAGGGGGAGCCCCCGGTGCCCACGGGAGAGCCCCTCACCCAGTCCTGTGTCGGAGATGTGACACTCCTGCCAGCAGGCGAGGCTGGGACAGGACCCACTGCGCTGCCCAGTGAAGGAGCGCCGTGTCAGAGGACAGGCCTGCCTCACTCGCTCCCTGGCGATGACTGAGCCTGTCATGCTGAGCCCTCGTCTAGGGACTCCCCAAGCCAGCTGGACACCCAAATCACCAGGTAGCGCTTCAAAAATAGACACTCTGTGAACGGTCTACACCAGACTTCCAGAAGCACTGGAGGTGACTCTCATGGGGTGGGGTCACAGCATTTGGGCACCTCTGACTAGGGTTTGTTCCCCAAGAGCTGAGCAGTTAACGGCAGGAACATGGCTTTTCAGACACGGAGCCTCCCCGCAGCACGAGGGTGTGTGTGAGGAACAGGACCTCCACCATTTCCCCAAGAGTGTTCCCTACAGCCAAAGTCTACGACAGGCTAACAGGTGTTACTTCCCCGGAAGTGTCTACTTGGTCAATTTGGGGAACTCGGCGTTCTGTCTTCCTCATGCCCACAAGTGCTCCGACTTCCTCGAAAGAGCAGAATCTAGTGTCCAGCATTTCTCAGCTTACTTCACCCTTTCTGGATGGTGCCCTTCCGAGGCAGATGGGATTCGGTAGAACATTCTTTAGGAAACACCAAATTAAAAACAAAGGTGTTCTCAGAATCAAGCTGGAGGGACTTAATCAAAGCTTAGTCTGACCCTTTCTACAAATACCTCCTAATAATCATGAAAACGAGGCCTAATGGAGAAAAGTGCTTCCTCTTAAAGCATCTGTAACTTGATATAAATTTGTAGCCACAGAGGCAGTGGTGGGAACCGAATCAGACCACTTCATTTTTCTCTAGAAAACACTGGCCAGGAAGAGGAGGAACCATGACCTCTGGGTCCAGTCCCAGGCTCCGCCCAGCCAGCTGTCCCTCTGTGGCCTGGGAGGACAGGGGACATACCGTTGATGATCCGGGCCACCCGCCACAACCGGAGTAGAATCAGCAGGCCAAGAGCCTCAAACTGGTGCTTCTGGAACAGGAGGATAAAGTCGAGGATGAAGGAAACCACCACCACAATGGCGTCCAGGATTTCAAACTTGTGGTGAAAGAACTCCATGCGGAAGACAAATAATTTAAAAAAAATCTCCATCATAAAGAAGGTCAGGATGGCAAAGCTCATGTAGTGGAAGACCTGGAGAGGACAGAAGAGGCACAGTGAGAACAGATCCAGGGCTAACCACAGGCCGGGGCAGGGCACACACACGCGCTGGGCTGCAGAGCACCTGCCGGGGCACCACAGAGCAAATGCACTTGACCCATCCCAAACTCCCCAGGGGCTGTTCTCCGACTGGGGCCACGGCTGGGACACCACAGACAAGGGCAGTTGGGCAATGGCAGGTTTGAAAACCACCATGCCCTTCGGCCCAGTAATTCCAAGTGCTAGTATTTCATCCCATAGCTCTGCTCACATGGGCACAAAGGCATGTTGTAGGGATCTTTGCTGTAGCATCAATTGCAGACATAAGATTTTCTACCTTGTTCATAGAATAGAAATTCTATTGGAGGGCACTTGTCAAATGCATTATAGTCCCTCCATATGGAGCACTATGCAATTGTTAAAGACCAAGGCTGACTCCTAGGTATTGACTAAAAATGATTACTTAGGTAGATGGTAATTGAGGAGGGTTCCTGGATCTTGATTTAGAAATACTAGCTCTTGGGACACCTGGGTGGCTCAGTGGGTTAAGCCTCTGCCTTCAGCTCGGGTCGTGATCTCAGGGTCCTGGGATCGAGCCTCACAACGCGCGCTCTGCTCGGCAGGGAGCCTGCTTCCCCCCTCTCTCTCTGCCTGCCTCTCTGCCTACTTGTGTTCTCTCTCTGTCAAATAAATAAAATCTTTATAAAAAAAGAAATACTAGCTCTCAGTAAAGTAACCATTTCCATTCTAGGACAGGGAAAGTACAAAGGCATCTGGGACATTATTTGGGGCCAGAAAGCAAGAAAATGCTCAAAGACTACATAGTCATCTTAAAAGGATAGAGCAGTTAGTCTGAAGAGACAGTGACAAAATTTAGTAGGACAATTTGGACCCTGAACAGAATGACTATGTTGTAATACAATGAATAAAAAAAAAATTCATGAGTCCTTGGTGATACATACACATACAGGAAAAAAGGAAAGCTCTTCTATATATGTATAAAACCAACAAAACCACCCACCTACCAGATGTAGAATGAATGCCAGAAATCTCAGTTCGCATCCCCCAGTGTACTCACCGACTTGGACAGTGACCGTCGGGTGGATGCGAACTGGGGAAGAGGATCTTTGCACAGCAAATTCTAACTGCAAAGGGAAAGTGGCCCTGGACAGTGGAAGAGCTCACACTTTCTGCCTTTGGTGATGCCAGCGAGTATCCCTGTAGTGACATGCCATGCTGTAAAGGAAACAGCCCACTAGCTAAACGCTCTTGCTTACGGAGCCTCTGGATCCAACCTCTGGTGCGCAGGGATTAAGGGAACAAGCTGAAGGACCTCTGGGGAAACAGACAAATCCAGAACGTGGGACACACTACGAGATGACTGGCTGGACTCGGGGCGGAAAGAAGGTGGGAGAGTGATGCCTGGGTCAGTGGGTTAAGCATCTGCCCTTGGCTCAGGTCCATGATCCCAGGCTCCTGGGGATCGAATCCCACATCAGGCTCCTTGCTCAGCAGGGAGCCCACCCGCCTCTCCCTCTGCGGGCTGCTCCCCCGTTTGTGTTCTTTCTCTCTCTGACAAATAAATAAAACCATAAAAGAAAAAAAAAGAAGAAAAAGTTGGGAGGACTCTTCTAAATTAAAAGAGCCTGAGGAGATATAACCAAGTATCATATTAGAAGTCTGGATTCTAGTTTGGGGAAAAAAAAAAAGCATTATAACATATTTTTGGGACAAATGAGGAAATTTGAATATAAGCTGCTCATTATGGAATTACTGATAATTTTTTAGGGGTGATAATTTTTTAGGGGCAATTATGGTTCTGTAGGAGAAAGACCTTATTCTTAGGCATTTCGAAGTATTTGTGTCCTGATGTCTAACTTACCTTCAAATGGTTGAAAATACATGGGTGTGTTTATGGATATACAGAGGATAAAATAAATGTAGCGAAAAGTATATTTGTTATTTTTCATAATAAAAAGTTGAGGAAAAAGGCACAAGACAGCCACCTGAGTAGCTCAGTTGGTTAAATGTCTGCCTTTGGCTCATGATCCTGGGCTGTGGGGGGGTGGGGAGGATCCCTGCTCAGCAGGGAGCCTGCTTCTCCCTCTGCCCCTCCCCTCTGCTTGTGCTCTCTCTCTCTCTCTCTCAAAAAAAAAAAAAATCTTAAAAGACAGTACAGCAGGTATGTCACTGATCATGTTAAAAGTAGAGGGAGAGGAAAAATATTCACCCATCCGTGGAAGGCCTCGGGCCGGCCACAGAAGAAGAGCCAGCAGCTACCTTGGGAAGCCTGCGCAAATGTCTGGGATGGGCTCAGGCAGAAGCTGTGAATTGGGGAATAAACAGCGGACAGATCTCCAGCACAGGGACCACGTCAGAATGTTGACAGGCTGAGAAATAGCTCATCTGCCACTAAAGATGGGACAGTATCCCTTTCCTGGTCAGACCCTCCCTCTAGAAGCAGTGACAATGCCTCAGCTCAGCGGTCTAGCACCACTCGAGATTTGAGCCTTCGAGTGAAATGAGGTTTCCTGCTTATAGTAAATGCTTGTCTATAAGAAGACATTTTCTGTGCTCTTTGGTTAGAAGCACCCAATCAACTCTGTTAAGGACTTGGTACTCCCAGAAGGGTGCTCTCTGCCCCCCTCTGCCCACCTCTGGAAAGACACAAGTGAATGGTATTTTTTTTTTTTTTTAAGATTTTATTTATTTATTTGACAGACAGAGATCACAAGTAGGCAGAGAGGCAGGCAGAGAGAGAGGAAGGGAGGCAGGCTCCCTGCTGAGCAGAGAGCCCGATGTGGGGCTTGATCCCAGGATCCTGGGACCATGACCTGAGCCAAAGGCAGAGGCTTAACCCACTGAGCCACCCAGGCGCCCATAAGTGAATGGTATTAACGGGCCGCTGGCCCCCTACCTTGGCAGCGTAGTCATTCTTGTCAAGCTCGATGATCTTCAGGTCCAGAATGAGCTCAGCAAGGACCAGGAGGGCATCCAGAATGACCAGGCAGATGATGATAACCTGTAGACCAAGGGAAGGAGCGAGAAACCGTGAGACCTAAAAAGGGACCCTCCTTCCATCTTTAAGGGCCAGAAACATCTAGGGAAAACCACTGGGTGAAGATGCCAGGGATGGGAGGCCGCTGCCCACAGCTGCGCACCTTCCAGGCCTGTGGGCCCCCCGGGGCAGTGCCTGTCCTCCCAGATCTGCTCTGCCTGGCTGAGTGACAGTCACCACTGGTCCTCCGTATTCATTCATTGTTTCTCAGCATCTCTCAAGCCAAACTGCTAATTCCTAGATGGCAAAAAAAATTTTTTTTTTAAGTTTTAATTTTCCTATTTCTGGAGGTTTTCTTGCCAGGGTACACCCAGAACAGATGCTCAATAGATAATTAAAAAGATCCGCCTCAGAGATCTGAGTCATGGAAGTCGCTCCAGGGACTGCCGTCCTTGAGGCAGTTGGATTAAGTGACATCCACCGTCCACGTAACAGGCTCGTCGGTGGGGGGGGTGTGGGGGGGATGGGCAGATGGTGGGGACAGGGTGCCGGGAGTGTGCGCTCTCACTGACAGTGGGGAACCCAGCATGACAGGTGGTGAAGACACTGCTGGGGGCCCTAATGGCAGGGTGGTGGAAACAGCAATGGGAGGAACCCCAACAGACAGTGTGTGACCCCTCCCTTCCCTTGGGAATTCTGGACCCCCCCCCCCCCACTGCCTCCCTCGGGACCCTGCTTCCTCCATCTGACACGCTCAGGTGGATTCAATGGGATCATCTGCCGTTTTCTTGCCAGTGCCGGCACCTTCAGGTGAACCGAACAGGCCTTGGCAAAAATGGACTAGTAAACCTCCTGACCACTTCAGCCCCTAGCTAATCACTTCAGTAATTAAAGCATTTGAGCACGTGGTTTACTGTGAAAACTGCACAGCAAAGTAATGACGTTTTCACACATATCCAAATTCCGTAGCTCAATAAAGATTCAAGCCTCTGGCGGGTGGTTTTTCCTTTTTCTTTCTTCCTTCATCCTTGGTTTTATTTTAGAGCTAACAGGACATGAGAGGTCATCTGGTCTAAAACCAAGGCACAGAGACATCAAAAACAGAGTGAATTTTTAGCCATAAAAAGGAAGGAGCCCTGGGGTGCCTGGGTGGCTCAGTGGGTTAAGCCTCTGCCTTTGGCTCAGGTCATGATCTCAGGGTCCTGGGATCGAGCCCCGCATTGGGCTCTCTGCTCAGTGGGGAGCCTGCCTACCCCCCATCCTGCCTGCCTCTCTACTTGTTATCTCTGTCAAATAAATAAATAAAATCTTAAAAAAAAAAAAAATAAAAGGAGCCCCTGCCACACACCACCGTGGGAGTGTGCAGCAAAGCCACAAGGCTGAGAGCAGCAGCTAGACCCAGAGCAGGCCAATCCGTACCCGCAGCAGATCAGCGGTGTCTGGGGTCTACTGTTTGATGGGTACCGGATCTCCTTTTGGGATGATGGAAACATGATGGAAAAGACAGTGGTGCTGGCTGCACGGCATGTGGAAGTGCCACATAAATGCCACTGAATTACTGACTACAACAACCAACTTTATGTGAGCTCCTCAGTTAAGAAGAGCCAGACTGACCCAAGGTCACAAAACTACAATGCCTGGGTCCCGGTCCTGGCCTCTGTTAACTAATCCCCAGACCCTGAATGGGCCACTTCACAAGGCAGTGCTGTTTCGGAGGGGAATCACGTCACAAAGAGAAACGCCAAGAATTCAGGGAAGCTGGTTAATTCTGCATCCAGAAGGGGCGAAGGGGGCCAGGCCCAGCAGGAGCAGGCAGTGGTGTGGCGCGCTGGCCCTGGGCCTGCTCCCGTGTTAGCCTCCCCCGACCCTGGCCCACCTCTCAAGGCCGATGAGCCTCCCATGGGAATGCTAAGTTTCAATGTCCTCTTGGAGAAAATGGGGCTGACCACATTTTCCTCCCTCGAATGACAGCAGGAGTATGACCTAATAAGGTAACATGTGATGGGTGCTTAGTACAGGGCCCCGCAGTAGTGAGCAGGTAATGAAGTGAAGCTCCTTGAGCTTCACGACTGTCCTCCCCTGGCTCAGCTACGCTGTCCACCCACGGATTCCACAGAGGCCCAACACACCCCGTATTCCCTCCCGTGCTTGTACCATCCTGTGGGAGAAGTGACAGCAATTAACTGTACACCAGCCCACCTAGGCTGCTTCGAACCATGGGAACAGGTAGAGAGAATGTATCCCAGAAAGGGATTCCAGAATCCTCTCGTGTGCCGATTCTACTGGCTGAGATCAAAGCCCTGAACTGGTGTCCCCACTCCATGCTGGTCTCCCTGAGCCCCTCCACAAATCCAGTCTTGTCACTCCCTCCATCCACACACTTAGACTTTCCATGGCCGCCCAGTGCCCACAGAAGACCTTCTAGCACCTCCTCTCTTACCAAGTTCTCCCTCTACTCGCTACACGTAAGCCATATGGACCCTTCTCGATTCTAGGAGTGCGGCAGATCCTTTCCTATCTTGGGCCCTTTGCAAACACAGTCTCTCTACCTGGAAAGTTCCTCCCTTCACCATTCACAGGGCTAGAGGTGTCAGATGAAATGTCGCCTCCTCCACCACATGTCCTCTGACACCCAGTCCTAGGTCACGTGTTCCTCTCAGGATCTCTCAGAGCCTCCTTCTGTCTCCCTACAGAGGGCTTTTCTTCGCTTGCAACCAGCATCAGTCCGGGTGATGGTTCCTGGAGTGCCTGCCTCTCCACAGACCATCCGTCCTCTGAGAGTAAGGATAGGGGTGTACCCCATGCTTGCTGCTCTGTGCTCCACCGCCTACCCCCTGCAAAAGTGTTCAAGAAGGAACTGTCCAGTGAATGACTAAGCATCTCTGCTTATGTTTCAACGGTCAGGCTGCTGCTTCTCTAGTAGGACTGTCCTTCGAGGTCCTGGCTCAGCAGGCAGCCCTGTGGCCCAGTCAGGAGCCGAAGGACCTTCCAGAGCAGGGAGACCCAGGGTTCCCCTTGCAGCTGGAAGGAAACTGGCTCCTTCTGCTTCTGAAATTGAGGGTTTGGGATTTCAACCCCAACAACTTAATATGTTTCCTCTCCTGTCACAGCCACAGAGGAACGCACTGAGCTGTGAGGCCTGCTGGGGAGTTTGGCCTGTTTCATTTCTCTAAGCTACACGAAAGCGAGAAAAAGACCAAAATAAAAAAAAAAATTTTTTTTTTTTTTTTTCCTATTTTACCCTGGAACAAAGGCAGCCATGGGAGAGGCAAGGGCTGTTTCTGTTTCCAGAGGGGAAGTCAGCTCTAGGGAGGGACTAGTTTATTTCGGTTTAGGACACCTGCCACAGGGTCCCCAGAATGGCTCCATTACGGGACCTGGGCTGACAAGGCGCCACGTGCTTCCCTAGTGTCCTGGGCCTCCTGTCTTCTCCTGGGGCCCTCAGAACAGGCTTCCAGACACCTGCCTGCCCACTTCAGGGCTGGGGTCTGAGACAGGACCCACCAGACTCAGCCTGCGTTTGTCCTTCAAAGTCAGAAGATGCTGACAGACGCTGAACCCTTTGCTGTTCTTTGAAGTCCGTGTGTCCCTCCCGTGTTCTCCCCTCAGCGCACCTGGAGGTCAGCGGTGGGCTACACCAGGCAGATCACTCCACAAAATAGGAGACCGAAGCCCCCATGGTGATAAGTCTGGGAGGCGCAGGACCCTCTTGGCTTTGTTAAACTCAGGGCGGACACTCAGTATTGGCCGAATGAACGCAGGAACGTTTTCTCTGCCTCCAATGTCTACCTTTTCATTGACTTTTTTTTTTTTAAGATTTTATTTTATTTATTTGACAGACAGAGATCACAAGTAGGCAGAGAGGCAGGCAGGAGAGAGAGGAGGAAGCAGGCTCCCCGCTGAGCAGAGAGTCTGACGTGGGGCTCGATCCCAGAATCCCGGGATCATGACCTGAGCTGAAGGCAGAGGCTTTAACCCACTGAGCCACCCAGGTGCCCCCTTTTCATTGACTTTTTGTGTAGATAGTAAAACCTGCATAACCTAAAGCTACCGTGACAAAATGTGAACCATTCTGAAGTTGGCATATGGTTCAAGGGCACCAAGCACCCTCACAAGGTCTGCAAGCATCACCATTACATCGTTCTGGAATGTCTCGATGACCCCACGCAGAAACCTGTATCCATTAAGCAGGCCCTTGCCATTCTGCCCTCCCTCCGACTTGGAACCCCCAGTCTGCCGTCTGTCTCTGTGGGTTTGCCTGTGGTGGACATTTCGCATCAACGAACTCAGACAACAGGTGGTCCTGTGTGTCTGGCTTCTCTGAGTGTCCCCTTGTCAACGCTCATCCCCTCATGGCAGGTGTCACTGCCTCCTTCCTCCTCACGGCCGAGTATGGACAGCCTACATTTTGTTCCTTCACTTGTCAGGGGACAGAGCTCGCACTGACTCTGGACCATGACTTTACCCCTGACGGCACGGGGTCTGCCCAGCGCTGGACGGGGCGCCTGACCCAGGGTTAGGGCTCAGGAGACCGACGTCACATGAACAGGGCGTTGGCAGAGACAGGCCCCCACCCCGGCCTTGTGACTCTTGGCTGGCGGCTCTGCCCCACCCCAGGCATCCTGGGCCTCTGCCCGCCTACCTGAAACCTGTGCGAGCTGAAGAGCTTCCTCAATGTGGCCCTGAAGTCGAGGGGGGGCCGGGGCGCGGGGCCGGGGGCCGCTGCTGGGTCGGGGGCTCTGCCCTCCTCCCCGGAGGCGGTTGCCTGTGGCGTTTGCTCCTCGTCCTCCTCGTCCTCCTCATTCTCCCACTTCTTGTAGTTGATGTTCCAGGCGTGGTAGTCGTCCCCGACAACGGTGAAGTGCTTCAAGAACTTGCTCATCCTCTGGGCCGGGGCTGCTCTGGCCCTGCGGGAGCTGGCCTGTGGGAAGGGGAAACAGAGGCAGTGCTGAGGCGCGGAGGCCTCTGAGCCCGTCCACACCGCTCAGACCTCACGCTGCTCTGGCGGGGAGCAGGGCCCAGGCTGGGCCAGGCCGCAGAGGGGAAGAGAGCCCTGTGGCCCTCGGAGCACCAGGCAAGCGGGGACTGTGAGGTCACGGTGGTTTCTCGTGCATTTATTTTTGGAATCCAGGGTCCCAGTGCCAGTGAGGCAACAGGAAACCCCAGAACCCATCAGGCCTGTCACTATGGTCGGGTTGGCAATAACCAATGAAATTGGTACCACAACCCGGTCACAAAATACCCACCACGTGTAAATACCGGAAGAGCGGCCCCATGGTTCAGAGACATCACAACCTGAAAAACCGGAGGTGAGAGTTGGCGGGGCAGGGGTGTGGAAAGCCAAAAGTAAAAGTACTCAGTTTCACAGAAAAGGGAGGGCCGCCCCCTTCATGCCACAGATCAGTTCTTGAAATGTGAGCGGCAAATACATTTTCCTAAGTGCAACCACTGCAGTTTGAAGTGCGTGATGGACAGAGGTTTAAAGACAAGTGCCTTCAAAGCAGAAAGCAAATAATCTTCCCTTTGCCCAACTGACCCTACCGGATATCAAATTTCCTATAAAGTTCAATAATTAAAACTTTGGGGTAAGGGTCCAAGAATGGGGACTATGGTCAGCGGAACAGGAAAAAAGAGCCCAATCAGACCCATACCCCAATAGGGCACTGGGTGTGATGGAGGTGGCGTACAGATCAGTGGGAAAAGGCTAGAGAGGCCAGGACACCTGACCTTCATGATAGGAAACAAAAAAACAAAAAAAAACATGAAAGAGCCCTACCTCACACCCTACACAGAATAAATTTCAGATGCATTAACTGTAACATATAAATTTTTTTTATAAATTAAAAAAAATTTAGAAGTCTTAGAACAAAATATAAGCAAGTACCATCATGACCTTCAAATAGGGAAAGGTTGCTTAAATAAGACACAAAACAAATGGACAGACTTAATTCATCAAAACTAAAAGCTTTTATATTTCTCTCTTTCTCTCTCTCTCTCTCACATCCACATACACAAATACCATACACAACCCTAGAAAGACATACCATAGCATGGGTGAGACACACACATATTTGCAATGTACTTACTAGGCATTGTTTAGTTCCGTGTCCAGAATATATAAAGAAATCATACAAATTAAAAAAAAAAAAAAAAAGACAACTCCTTTAAAAACTAGGCAACTGTATTGATAGGTCACCTACAAGGAAACCCAAATGGCAGAGACACAACCTCACTAGGACTCAGGAAAATGTGAATGGTAAGAATTCTAAAGTCTGCGATAGCAAATACTGGCAAAGATGTGACACAGTGGGGGCTCTTGAACACTGAACATAGGAACTGACTCTGGCACCACCATTTTGGGAAACAACCTGGCACTGCTTTGTCAAGTCGAAGCTGTGCATCTCTCTCTTCATAATCTAGTGATTCCATCCCTAGAAAGGCGCCAGAGAGAAACACCCCCACATGTGCTCGAATCAGTGGTTTGTTCAAGAATGATCACTGCAAATGTTCACCGGAATGGTGGGAGATGGAGGAAGGAGGGACTGCTACAGAGCCGCTAAAATGAATGAACTGCATTACTAAACGTCACCGATGACATCCACAGCTACCCACTTAGCAGCACTGAACACAGCAGGTCCCTCCTGCCTTTGCTGGCTTCTAGGATCCCTTACTCTCCTGGTTTTCCTCCCACCCCGACGGTTACTTCTTACCAGTACCTTTTGCTGGATTCCCTAAGAGGAAGACCTTACATTTAAGTATCAACATACCGGGGCCTCAGGTGTCTCTTCTCCATACTCCGTTCTGGTGGCTTCCCATTCAGAAGCATAGCTTTAAAAGCCATCTGTACATGGATTATACAGAAACACTATCTCCAATCCCAGTCTCAACTAAGGACATGCACCCTTAGTTATCTAAAAGGTATCTTATACCTAGCATGCATGTTCAAAGCAAAATTATTCATTTGACACCCAAAACATCCCCATCTCAGTTTAGGGCACTTCCTTTGTCTAGTTCCTTAGGCCAATAACTTTGGCATCATTCTTTAAATGTCTCTCTCTTCATTCAGTACTGACCTAGCAGGGGTGCTTGGGTGGCTCAGTGGGTTAAAGCCTCTGCCTTTGGCTCAGGTTGTGATCCCGGGGTCCTGGGATCGAGCCCTGCATCCGGCTCTCTGCTCAGTGGAAAGCCTGCTTCCTCCTCTCTCTCTGCCTGCTTCTCTGCCTACTTGTGATCTCTGTCCATCAAATAAATAAATAAAATCTTTTAAAAAAATTCTGATCTAGCAGTAAATTTTGTTGGCCCTGCCTGTTAACTCCTTTCCAACTAAGACCACTTCTCCCCATTATTTCCTGCTGCCTCTTGCCTGAATTACTACAGGAGACTCCCACCTCCTCCCAATATCCATTCTCCATCTGGCAACTTGAAAGAACTTTCTCAAATAGAAATGAGATCATGTCATGCCCTTCCTTAAAACTTTCACATGTGGTGTTTTTTTTTTCCTTCCCCAGCATACTCAGGCCTTCCTCCCGGAAATGTTTCCCCTCCCCAGACAACTGCACGGTTCACACCTTCACTTGGATCAGGCTTCTGCTCAAATATCACCTCCGCTGAAACCTGGTCTGGTCGCGCTTCCCCACACCATACCCACTTACCCTGCTTCACTTTTTTTTTTTTTTTAAAGATTTTATTTTTAAGTAATCTCTACATCCAACATGGGGCTTGAACTCACAACCCTGAGATCAAGAGTCTCATGCTCTAAGCCAGCCAGGCGCACCTCATTTTTCTTTATTGCATTTATTGGTGACATTACATATGAACTTATTTATCTGTTTATTATCTGCCTACACCCCCTCCCCCCAAGACTCTAAGCTCCATGAGAGAACTTTTTCCATCTTGGGCAAATGGCCTATCCAGTGTCTGGCACTTAATACACACTCAAAAACACCCAAATATTTAAGTGACTAAATGAATACATAAATGTGGATACGTCTTTACAAATACGTTGAGGGGCACCTGGCTTGCTCAGTCAGTGAGTGTCCGACTCTTGGTTTCAGGTCAGGTCATGATCTCATGGGTCATGAGATTGAGCCTCGCGTCTGGCTTTTCACTTAGCAGGGAGTCTACTTAAAGATTCTATCCCTCTGCCCCCTCCTGCACATGGGCACACATGTTCTCTCTTTCTCGTTCTCTCTCAAATAAATAAATCTTTTTCTTTATTGCACTTATTAGTGACAGTATATAAGAAAATATATTTGAAAAATATTTTAAAAATATATATTATATAATATTATTAGACTATTAGACTATACATTAGAAAAATACTTTTCTAATATTTCTAAATTAGAAAAGTTAAAAATATGTTGAGTTTAGAGGCACCTGGGTGGCTCAGTTAGTTAAGTGTCTGACTTGATTTTGGCTCAGGTCGTGATCTTAGGGTTGTGAGGCTGAGCCCCATCTCGGGATCTGTGCTAAGTGTGGGGCTTGCTTAATATTCTCTCTCTCTTCCTCTCCCTCTGCCCATCACCCCCCAAAAAACATATATGTTGAATTGAAAAGGAAGATATAGAAGAATATGAACATAATACCACTTACGTAAAAATTTAAAAATACATGCAAAGTATTACTATATGCTGTTTTGGGAATGTATAAAATGGAAGTGTAAACATACAAAAGAAGGGGATTTCTGCTTCTGGTCATGATAGAGTAACTGGTAGCAGATTAAGGCTCTTGCCATAAAAAAACTATAGAAGTGGATACAATGAATGAAATTTAAAGTGGTCTCTGAGAAAAGAGAAACAGACAAGGTGAACCCCCACACTCACCCTGACTTTCTGCCTAGAGGTACTTTCTGGACTATGGCAGCAAGACTATTGAGCCTTCCTCCCTCAAGAATGTGCATGGCAAAGTACCTGAGAGTAGGAAGCTCTACAGAGAAGGAAATCCAAAAAAATCCAACTTTGGCTGAATTCTAAACAGCTGAGAAACTGCCAGAGATGACACAAGGCTGGGTTGGGAGATGTGTGAGTTCCAAACATCCAGAGTAGAGATATCGTGTTGAACACCCTGAGAATTTAGTTGAAATTCCAGAAAGGTCATGCCTTATTAGTATGCATAATCTAGCCCTATAATAAGAATTACCTTAGACCTGTCCCAAATATACTTAAAAAGAAGCCTTGAAAAGATCAAGCAGATCCCCAGGTAAATTGACTTCCTGTTGGAACAAAATTCAAATTCTACTAGGGAGGACAACAAAATATACTCAACAGTGTAGCACTTATAAATGTATAGCATACAATAAAAAATCACTAGACAGGGGCATCTGGGTGGCTCAGTTGTTGAGCGTCTGCCTTTGACTCAGGCCATGATCCCAGGGTCTGAAATCAAGCCCCACATCAGGCTCCCTGCTCCACAGGAAGCCTGTTCTCCCTCTTCCACTCCCCTTGCTTGTTCCCTCTCTTGCTGTGTCTCTGTCAAAAAAATAAAATCTTTAAAAAAAAATTACTAGACAAGTGAGGCAGAAAACCACAGCCCATAATGAGAAGAAACACTAGCTTACCAAAATGGACGGATAATAGAATTGGCCAACAAAGACTTGTAAATAGCTATTATAATATGTTCAATGATTTCAAAGAAAATATGAGCTTAATGAAGGAACATATAGAGAATCTAAAAAGAGAAAATGGAAACTGTAAAAAAAAAAAAAAAATCCAAAGGGGCTCAAAGCTGATTAGATACTGTAAAAGAAAAGATCAGGGAACTTAATGACAGAGCAATAGAAAGTATCAAGTGGAAACATGGTGAGAAAAAAAGGTAGGGGAAAAAAACCCAGAGCCTTAGGGATAACATCAAGTGGTCTAATATACATATACCCAGGGTATCAAAAGATGAGAGAGACTGGGGCAGAAAAAATTTGGAGAAATAATGGGCTGAAAACATTTTGAAATCTGATGGAAAAATATAAATATGTAGATCCAAGAAGCACGATGAACACCAGGGAGGACGAACATAAAAACGAATGGACTGAAAGGAGACACCAAATACAAGATGGTGTTTGCCCTTAGGGAGGGGCAAGGGCTCAGAACCAAAGGAGTCAAACAGTACTTAAATGCTAGGGCGCCTGGGTGGCTCAGTCATTGGGCATCTGCCTTCAGCTCAGGTCATGATCCCAGGGTCTTGGGACTGAGCCCCGCATTGGGCTCCCTGCTCAGTGGGGAGTCTGTTTCTCCCTCTCTCACTCCCCCTGCTTGAGCTCCCTCTCACTGAGTCTCTCTGTGTCAAATAAATTAATAAAATCT